GATCCTTTCATTTTACCAGTGGTTACAAATATTAAAGTAGAGAGAAAATACTGAGAACTTTTCAAAATAGTTTTCAATGTTATTATAAGATCCATCAGCTGAAAAGGAAACTGGGCACATTTGCAGAAGTAAGGCAAATGTGTTTCAGAAAAAAACATTAATTATATAATAATACAACATGTATCTTCAAAATCAAGACTGGTGTTTCCTACAAGTTTTGGTCTACTTTGAGCAGGAATTAATTCAAGGAATTCAATGGCATGTGCAGTACAAGAAGTCAGAGTAGATGGCTTTGTAAGCTGTGACACTACTTGTCTATCTATAATTGAGCCATCCATTAATCAAGCTGGATTGAACACAAGGGCAGTTTCCCTGTTAATGCTTATTCATTCATAAAGTGAATACATTATTGATTATTATTTTTAAATACACTTACTTGTAGAAGTGCCTATAATTAAGAGTCCAGACCTTTGAGCTAGAGAACCATGAGATAAACTGAGCTGGGATACTAGGTGTAAATAGCAGCCCTTGCTCACACAATGTGGTTGTTGGTTAGTCAGTTAGGTACTGCTTTACTACTCCAACTGCAAACACTATTCCATGCCTGACATCCATAAATGTGCAATGGGTTGTGATTAATATTTAGCCCAGTGGTAGAGGATGATGGACTATCTTTCAGTTATTGAGCCCATCTTCATTGCTCACTCTTTTCCTTGTAAAAAGGTGATGTTTTAACTAACACACATAATACTGCACCATAAGAATGGATCGATTTTGCAATGGCTCTGATTGTTTTGCTATGTTGTATTTTATCCCTTACACCACAGCATTTCCATATCCTGATTCTCTGGGTGACCTTACAAGTTGCTGAGCTCATGCACTGGGCAAGATGCCTCCCAGACAAAACTGTGAGTGGGCTAGGGCAGATATGGCTACACCTGCCTAGGGAGTTTGTCAGAGCACTTTGCAAGAAAATTTCTCATTACAAATTTGCTTCTTCAGCATTCCTCTTTTCTTTCCATTTCACTGCTTTACTTTCTTGTGGAAATATTGCACCTCAAGTTCCAGTGTGTGTGTTTAGTCAAAAAGGAGCTTGCCAAAGATTTACCGTACAAATAATTTAACACAAAACTAAATAAACAGATACTAATAGCAGAGATCACATCCTTTGGAGGCTTACATTACTCTACACTGCTCATGAATGGCAAGTGGCACTAGAAATCTTTTCACTCACTTCAATGCTTTACTCATAATTTTGACAGGAATGTTTTCTTGATGCTATATCCAAGGTCCAAGGTGCAGTATAACTGATAATTGTAGTCAAAACACTTGTGCACAAAACTGTGATTACAGAATCATAGAATTATGGAATCATAGAATGGTTTGGTTTGGAAGGTACCTGAAAGATCATCCAATTCAAACCTCCCACCCATCACCTCAGGCTGCCCACAGCCCCATCCAACCTGACCTTGAGCGCTTCTAGGGATGTCACATCCACAACCTCTCTGGGCAGCTGTGTCAATTCCTTACCATCACCTCAGTGATAGATCTTCCCCTGACATCCAATCTAAATTTCCTCTCTTTTAGTTTGAAACTATTCATAGAATCACAGAATTGCTCAGGTTGGAAAAGGCTTCACAGATCATCAAGTCCAACCACAACCTAACCATACTACCTTAACTATAGCAACCCTCCGCTAAATCATGTCTCTCAGCACAACATCCAAAAGGATTTTAAACACATCCAGGGATGGTGACTCAACCACCTCCCTGCAGAGCCTATTCCAGTGCTTAACAACCCTTTCTGTAAAGAAGTTTTTGCTGATAGCCAACCTAAACCTCCCCTGGTGCAACTTGAGCTCCCCTCGCCCTGTCACCTGTCACCAATGAGAAGAGACTAACCCAGCTCTTGCTGTAATCACCTTTCAGATATTAGAAGAGAGCAATAAGGTCTCCCCTCAGCCTCCTCTTCCCCAGACTAAACAGCTGCCGTTCCTCCTTCCCAGTTGCTCCTCATATTCTCCAAGTCCTTCACACGCCTTGTTACCCTACTTTGGACCTGTTCCAGCACCTCAGTGTCCTTCTCGTACTGAGGTTTCCAAAACTGAACAGAGTACTCAAGATGAGGCCTCACCAGTGCTGAGTACAGGGCCAGGTTTACTTCTCTAGTCCTGCTCACCACACCATTCCTGATACAAGCCAGGATGCCACTGGCCTTCTTGGCCACCTGGGCACACCTCTGGCTCATATTCAGCTGACTGTCCATCAGTACACCAAGGTCCCTTTCCATCAGGCAGCTTTTTAGCCATTCCTCCCCCCACAAGCCTGTAGGATTATCTGAGGTTGTTGTGACCAAAATGTATGACCTCACGCTCGGTCCTATTGAAACTCATACAGTTTACCTTGGACCACTGATTTAGTCTACCCAGATCCCTCTGTAATGACTTTCTCCACTCAGATCTCCATGGCAGATCGACACTCCCTCCCAACTTGATGTAATCTGCAAATTTGAGGGTGCACTCAGTCCCCTCATCAAGATTGTTAATAAAAATTTTAAATAGAAGTGGCCCCAGTGCCGAGCCCTGGGAGACACCATTTGTGACCAGCTGCCAACTGGATTTAACTTGATTGACCACAACTCTTTGGGCCCAACCATCCAGTCAGTGTTTCACCCAGCAGAGCCCATCCACACCCATTCAAACCATGGGCAGCCAGCTTCTCCATGAGAATGTGGGGGACAGTGTCAAAGGCTTTACTGCAGTCCAGGTATACCACATCAACAGCCTTACCTTCATTCATAGAATCATAGAATCATAGAATCATAGAATCATAGAATCATAGAATCATAGAATCATAGAATCATAGAATCATAGAATCATAGAATCATAGAATCATGAGGTTGGAACCGACCTATAAGATCATCTAGTCCCACCATCTTCTCATTACCACTGCTACCACAAGCTACTAAACCATATCTCACAGCTCCTCTTGAACACTGCCAGGGACGGCGACTCCACCCTCCTGGGCAACCATTCCAGTGCCTGACCACTCTCTGTGAGAAAAAGTTTTTCCTCATGTCTAACCTAAACCTCCTCTGGTACAACTTGTGGCAATTTCCCTGGTCCATGCCACAGGCAGCCAGTTTCCCCAGAAGAAGCCTGTGAGAGACTGTGTCAAAGGTTTTGCTGAAGTCTAGATAGACTACATCAACAGCCTTTCCCTCATCTACCAGTCTGGTCACCCAGTCATAGAAGGAGATGAGGTTGTTCAAGCACGACCTACTTTCATGAACCCGTGCTGGCTGGGCCTGATCCCCTGGACACCTTGCACGTGCCATGTGATCTCACCCAAAATGATTTGCTCCATTACTTTCCCTGGTACCAAGGTCAGGCTAACAGGCCTATAGTTCCCCGGATCCTCATTATGGCCCTTCTTGAAGATGGGAGTCACATCAGCAAGCCTCCAATTCTCTGGGACCTCTCCAGTTAACCAGGAGCGCTGATAGATGGCTGAGAGCGGCTCAGCAATCACCCCCGCCAGCTCCCTCAGCACCTGAGGGTGTAGCCTATAAGCCCACTAAGCAGGTCACCTTGTCACAGAATGAAATCAGGTTTGTCAAACAAGATCATAAACCAACCTGTGCTTACAGGGCCTGATCCCCTGGTTTACCATAAATTGATCCCCTGGTTTACCTTTAATTGATCCATGATGGCTCCTGAGAATATCTTCTCCGTGGCCTTCCCCGGCACTGAGGTGAGACTGATAGGTCTGTAGCTACCAGGATCATCTTTCTGTCCCTTTCTGAAGATAGGTGTCACATTTGCCAGTCTCCAGTCCAACAGGACGACTCCGGTTAGCCATGACTGTTGAAGGATGATGGAGAGTGAGGCAACCACATCTACCAACTCCCTCAGTTCTCTAAGGTGCAATCCATTTGTGAGTGTCCAGCTTTCGGAGCAGGTCCAAAATCATCTCATCTTCATCCCTGTCCTATTACTTATCTATCCATGTAGAAAGTTGATTTCTCTCCTAGTTTTAAGCTCCCTTTAAATACTGGAAGGCCACAATGAGGCTATCCCTCAGAACTGTCTTCATAGGAGAGCTGTAGACAGCATTACAATACTGCATTAGTACAGACTGTTTCTTGTCCGGCTGTTTTTTAAGAATTTTAATAATAGGTTTAGTCTTTATAATTCTAAAATAGTAATTATTTTGAATAAACTTAGAGGTTGTTTTTATTATTATTTTTCTTTGTTTACTGTTAGAAGCTTTGTTATAATTTCAACATGGTTGTCGATGTAATATTCAGACTGTAGGGCAGCAACAGGAACTTTTACTTGCTGCTTGATTTCTTTACTATTGAGAGAATCCTAACACTTTATGTGCCTGATTATAACAGTTTTGCATCAGTTCTGTGGGATTTTTTGCTTGTACCACAGGAAATTACTCTAAAGCCTTTGGAGGTGATGGCCAGCTGTCCAGCCTCCAGAACATAACCTAACCTGGGTGCCACAAACCACGGGTGACAGTGCTGGACAGGCCAAGGCCCCAACGCGACTCTGAGGCCACACCTCTGGCCGTTGACCTCCTGCCTGTCCGACCAGGTGGCCTTGCTACCTCACACCACCAGCCCCTCTGCCATTTCCCAACCAGGATGGGCGCAGGATGGAACGCAGACAGCACCTTAGCGCCCTACTTAGGAAGAAGCCTTCTGCGAAATGAGCGGCAGCTTCCCTTGGCTTTGTGTCTGCAGGCTGCGCCTTTCGCAGTCCCGCTGTCGCTCTAGAGAGGGGCTGCGTTACCCATTTCTCACGGGCGCTCCCCGCTCGCGCGGTCGAGCGCTTCCACTGCGCGCGCGAGTGGACGTGACCCCCTTCCCGCCGCCAGCGCGCAGCGGAGCTCCGGGCCGGCTCTCCCAGCGCCCAGCCCGGCCGTTCCTCCGCAGCGCGAGGGCGGCTTCCCGGGTGCCCCTCCCGGCGCCAATCCCCCGCCGGCCGGAGGAGGCGCTCCCCTGGCGCCCGCTGCCGGTGTTAGGTGGGCCGAGCCCCGCCGGCGAACCCGGGGCCCCGCCGGCGTTGCCCCTTCGCCTGCAGAGGGATGCGCTCGGAGGCGGTGCCGCAGCGCGGCGGCCTGGAGAGGTTCGCCAGTCCCGGCAAGGGCCGGGGCCTGCGGGCTCTGAGGCGCTACGCCGTGGGAGAGCTGCTCTTCAGCTGCCCGGCCTACACCGCCGTGCTGACCGTCAGCGAGCGCGGCGGCCACTGCGACGGCTGCTTCGCCAGGTGGGGCTGCGGGCCGGGCCGGGGAGCGGGGTCTGGGAGCACGGGTTCTGCGGGTGCGGGCCCCGGGAGTGGCGGCTGCGGGAGGAGCCCCGCGGGCAGCGCTGCGTCGGGAAAGCTGCCCGCACCGTGCGTTCGTCGGCTGCGGGGAGGTTGCGGCGTGGAATTGGGTTCCCTCGCTTGAGAGCCCGGGAAATTGAGGGGGAAAAGGTTCGGCTGCTTTTGCAGTCGCTTAAATGCGCGCGCGGCTTCTTGCGAGAGGTTTAATTGCATCCGTGTCGGTTTGTAGCGCTGAAATATTCACCCGTTTTCATGAGGTTGTGACAGGGGAGGAAGGGCCCGTGGTTGCCAGACAACTACGTTGCATTTCCGTGGTGCACACGGCCTGTCTGAATACTACTTCTTCAACCAAAGCCTCGGTCTTCCTGTGTTGTGAGGAAGGCTGAGGGCAGGCAGCACGAGCAGCGCTCCTTCCGCAGGGCGCTTCCAGAGCGGCACGCCCTGACTGCAGGCCTCGTGCCTGGCATCCCGCGGCTCATCGCTCTGGCAGTTGCAGAATCACAGAATCGTAGGAGCTGGAAGGGACCTGTGCTGATCGTCGAGTCCAGCCCCCCTGTTGTGTGCCAGCTGCCCTCCTGCCTCTCTGCGAGGCTGCTGAGGCACTTTAGAGTTATTATTAGAAAGTTATCATCCCTGGAGTTTTGTGTGTGGGTTTTTTTTCTTTTTTTTTTTTTTTTTTTCTTCTTGTGCATAACCATAAATTGCCTTCTGTTGAAGAATCTGTCTATCACACCCAGATTTCTCTCTGTATGGGATCACAGAATCATAGGGGTTGGGAGGGGCATCTGGAGATCATCCAGTTCAATTCCCCTGCCAAAGCAAGCTCCCCAGAGTAGGTTACACAGGAAGGCATTCAGGCGGGTCTTGTATATCTCCAGAGAAGGAGAACCCACAGCCTCTCTGGGATACTTTCCATTCTCTGTTGTCATCAAGTAATATTGTAGTGATAATAGTGACCTAAAAATATTTGGGTCTCTCTCATAGAATAACTTCTAACAGTCAACGGGATCAGCCTATTTAAATGCTGCTTTTTCTCCATGCTGCCTTCTGCTGTGGAGTTCTAGGGCTGCACAGTGATCAAGGGAAATACACTGAATGTGCCATAGTAGTTACCATGCAGGAGACCAAAAGCGATTTCACACCGGAGTGATGGGGTTCTGCTAGAAGGGAAAAAATCTCACTGAAGTACCTGGATCTGCCATTTCTCAGAAAACATTCTGTATGTGCTCCCCATTTCAGCAACACTGAACTAGAAACAAAACTAGTACATACTACAAAAAAGGGCTTGATTTGCAACTATATTTGCTTAAACTGCGGTGTTTGGAAGGTTGTGGGTAAAGTCTTAGTAAGAGAAACTTAGGCGTGCCATCGTAAAAATGAGTCTAGAAAGACACATTTGCATCTGATGATATTTGTTACTTTAAATATGCAGCTGTACTTGAGGGGCATGCTGTCAGCAAGCAGAATGCTGTTGGTAGCCTGACACACTCGTGTTTCACCGTCAGCTTTGCAAGAATGATCAGGGGATGTTGACACTCTCAAGGCCTTACGGACCCCCAGTGCCAGAAACCTCTGCAAAATGCCCTTCATTGTTGTATTCTATGCAGACAGTCACTCTTGTTTTACTCCAGTGTACATCTTATAATTATTACCACACTTTTAGACAAATTTTGTTGCAACTTGTACTGGGGAAAGTGTGTAGGTGTTTTAAAGCATTTGGTACCACCGAGGGATCCCTATTGCTATCACCAAAATGTCATGTTGAGTAACATATGCTGTTTTGGTGATAGGACCTGCTACAACACACGCACCTTGAAGCAGAAAAGGATCTTCATTTTGTCAGATCCCTCTGTTGGGATATATACAAATTAAACAGAGAGTGCAAGCCTTAGGTAAGCTTAGGATACATAGCTATCCAGCAGATGCTGGACAGCAGGACAGAAAGAGGCTGTGTGGTGACAGGAGGTGGAAGAGTATTTAGTAATTTGGTGTTGGGAGGTGATTATTCACAAAACAATGATCGTGCTTACTGAAGCAGACAGAGAAGCAATGGAACTGGAAGAGCAGAAGCAAAAGGCTAGGAATGGTGAGCAGGTATATAGAGCAACGGGGAAGTTCTGAAAGCAAGGAGAAGTTAGCAATCAGCATGCAGCTTGTAGTGCCAAAAAATGAAATTGTCTGTCAAGCAGCATAGAATAAAACATTCCCAAACCCTGTAATTTAGGACAACAGAGTGCTTTTGCATAATAACGGTTGTTAAGAAAAACTTCCTTTTCAAACTCTAAACAAATCAGAATAGCATCTGCCATCTGAAGTCGGGGTTCAAGCTGTACTTACAGTGTTCTGAGGAAATATGAAATGCTGTGCAATGCTCTTCTCGGATGAGTTGTGGGGTTACCAGATTAGCCCCCCGTCAGAGATTCATACCTATTAGTGATAAAGGATATATTTGTATTTCGTTGAGCTTTATAGAATAGAATAACTGCCTGTTTTCTTTTAAAGGAAAGAAGGACTATCCAAGTGTGGAAGATGTAAGCAGGCCTTTTACTGCGATGTGGAATGTCAGGTACGGTAATGCAGTATGTGTGGGGGATGCTCGCACCCATTTATTGTCATTGATAGCCTCTAATTTTAACTGTGGTTAATAGTAGCCCAGTCAATTTCAGCATCCCACAGATGCTGACCATGAAATCATGCATTGAACAATTACAGGATTTGGACATGGTCTGCACAAGTCTTTCAAGATCGGTAGCTCCAGGGCTTGGTACCACTGAGACTTTGATTAGAGCTGCCTGTCAGCCCACTAATTATGTCTGTATTACTTCTTTTTTAGAGCACAAACCAGATAAATTGACATTATCTCACTAAACTGTTTGAAGAGTTTGTGTCTAAGGAAAAAGTTAAATAATTAATAAACTATTTTAAGTGCTTTTCTTGCTTTTCTTTTCTTTTTCTTTATATACTATTGTTCTTTTAAAGCCTCCTAGAATAGAATATAAACAAGTCTACAACAAAGTAGAGCAGTATGAAGGCATCCAAAACCTTTGCATGCAGTTTTAATTACAGTTTTCATCTCAATATTGGAATAGGCATCTTTAAAAAAAAAAAATTAAAAAATCCCAAATCTAGTATCTAAGGTGCTTTTATTTCAAGCATGCATCTTATTCTTCTACTGGGCTAGAGGCAAACTTTAGCCTATCCTCCTCTAGTTCTTCTGTTGCTTCCACTGGCTTTCAGCTTTCCTACAACATCATGGAGAATTGTGGGTAAATTGCATGGCTTTTTGGCTTGGCAGTTGGATTCAAAATGCTTACAAGATTTAATTTTTCAATGATGTTTTCAGTAGAGAGAATATTGAGACACTGATAGCAGTTGCACTGGGAAGAAATAAAATGCCATATAAGCATCTTTAAAGCCCTTGAGAGAAGTCTGAAAGAGTTTTAATGACAGTGTTGTGAAAACGCAGGATTCATTCATGACAAACGCTTATTTGGAAGAACTGCTTCCACATGTCATTATTTCTTAATAAGCCCTTAACTGCATGAGGAAACAGAGCAATTTGTTGGTTGATCAGCACTTTCTATCTGAGATTTCTTGTCATTCTTTATGAAGCTCACAATGGTTTATATAGCATATAACTGTCATGCAAGGCTTACTGAAGTTGGAAATCTCCCAGTTTGTGCCAGGAAAAACAGCAAATTGATAATCAGGGTGGGTGGAAGTAGTAGGACTTAGTTCTGCTGGCCTGCAGTCCTTCGCTTTTACCTCCAAGCCCCTCCTTCAGTCCTTCCCTCAGCAGCTTTCGCTGATAAGTTTACACAGTAAGAACAAAGAGGCTTCTTTCCTCTCTCCCCCCTGTATAGTCTTGTCCATGTTTTGCTTTCTTACCTTTCTTTTTCTTTGTGGTCAGAAAACTATTTTTACAGTAGAACATCTTCCAGGGAGATAAAACTGAACTGAAACTGGCTATCCTTAAAACTACAGGTCAAGATGCTCAGCTGAAGTCTGTCTGATAAGTTAATGAATTAAAAGCTTTTCTGTCTGTTGGTGTATATTATGATGCTCCAGATACAAAGACATCTAATGATGTCCAGCAGGGAAATGTAGTGCGGAGGTGTGAGTGGCAGACAAAGTTTTGCAGTGCTGTAGAGGCTAATTTTTTTAGGCCTCACTTCATATGTTCTCACACTGGGCCTGCTGCAGTTCCCGTACGTGTCTGTCGATTTATTTGGTCTTGCTTTCCTTTCCAGCCCCTGATCCAGTTCCCCTTTTAAAAGGGTTTGAGAGTTGCAGCTGATTCGTACCAATTCTGCTCTTTGCTGTTGGCTCCTCGAAGCACAGGCCTGTTATTATAGTAGTGGCTTTCAGACCCCATCTGCAGCTGTTCAGGTCTTGACTTCTTAAATTATAATAATTTTAGTCAAACAGCAGGAGACCTGTGCTTATCTTTTCTCTTCAGAAATTAGCTGCTGAAGCACTCTAAAGGGAAATATTTTAAGGGGGTTATGTGGGTGCAACTGTGGAACCGGTGAACTTGAACCAGCTACTAGAGCTCCTCTCTCTGTTGCTACACAGAGCTATTATTTATCCCAGACAGAGTGGAGATCAGCTAGCCAAAGTGCAGAAAGAGATGTTTTTTTTTTTGTCAGGACTTTCCATATTTGAAAGATACTTTATGCAAAATATTTAGGGGTTATTCTTGACATGTCATGCTAGTAAGTGTTGTAGTTGGTATTTCTAGAATAAGGGAAACATATTTTTAGTTGTAGATCTGGAGTTAGCATCAAGCAGATGTGTTTTAAATGGGACCTTGCAGAAATTTTCCAATCTGCTTTGCTTCTATACTGTAGAAGAAGTAGGAAATTCTTGCTGTAACAGTTCTGTGCAAGAAGAATCTGATGCTAGAAGACCCTGTTTAAGCCTTTGGAAAGAGTCCGTTTCCCTACCGAAGAACTTTCTGTGTTATCTCTTTGATAAATGTCTCTTGTCAGCATTTGAACATTATCCCTTGGTAGTCCAATACCCTCTCTGGCTCAGCATTCAGTAATCTATAGTAGTGAAGGATGTGTGAAGTTCCTGCTTTTGCTGCTTGATGAAGGGCTGTGTCTGAGAACTTTACTGGATAATGCAGGCAACAGAAGATGCTTCACTGAAGTTCAGTTAGGGACTTGAATAATATTTGAGCATAACTGGGTCCGAAGAAGTGGGCTTTTCTCTTCTGATGGTTTGTCAAGCTTTTCTGTCTACTGTTTGTGTTTTGTTTTGACCAAGTGAAATATAACAAAGTTTACATCCTGCAGAGAAATCCTGTGTTTGGAAGAAAGGAAGTTTGGACATGGTTAGTGGGCATGGTGGTGGTGGAGTTGTGGTTGGAGTTGATCTTATTGGTCTTTTCCAGCATTAATGATTCTATGATTCCAAGTGCCAGGATGCTTTTCTGGGTTTGAGTCTTATTCTGGGTATGAGGTGTATTTATTTATTTTTAATGCTGAGCTATATGTCAATGTCCTGGACAGTGAAACTGCTTTGAAGGACTTGATGGAGAAGACCATTTCCATGCTTTGATGTGAAAAGCACGAGCTTTAAAGGACTTCCGTTCCAAAAATGTTGTCACACACTCCTAAATGAAGGGAAAAGTACTGTGAATGTATGGAAAATAGGAAGAAAATATTATTAATGTAACATCAGGGATTCAGCTAGAACAATGCTACCTGTTATAATTCAAACTGCTTAGAAAAAAAGCATGGAGAAGAATGCAAAACACAGTCCTGCTGGGATCGCAGGGGAAACTGCTGTCCCAGTGTTTCCATCCCAGATATTACTCAGTCATCAGTGCTCTCTCTCCTTGTAGCATTTCAGGCTTTTATCTCATTTCACACTATTCAGCCATATCTTGTCCCTTTAACCTCCTTACTAGTTCATATAACCCAGTGTGATTCTGCCTGGGGAAAGATTTTAATTAGCAGTGTGTGAAGAATAAAGAGAGCAAACGGACTTTTAAAAACACTGCTTTGAGACATGCATGTGATTTTGCATTTGATTTTTGTTTTTTCAGGTAATCTCTTGTTTATTTACCCTGGTGTATGAATGCTGCCATACAAAACTCTAGGCTCTGTTTTCTTTGCTTCTTGCACCCCAGAAGCAAGTCTGAAGCATGAGTATACAAGAAAAGAAGGGGTGTGAAATGAGGTCCCAACTTTGTACATCTTTATGGTATTGGTCTTTGTTTAGGAATCCACTGGGTATCAGGAATTTTCCAGAGAGAGGTATTGGGGCACACATAGGAAATAAGCCTCTACGGGGGATGCACTTCATAGTGTGACAGCTGTAGGACAGTTGAGAGCATAATTTCACATGACATGATTACGGTGTAATATCCTATTTTAGTTTGCCTGGTCTGTATGGCCATGTCCACTTAGAACAGCCACACTTGAGCTTATTTCAGGGAGCCTGCATGCTGTTATTGGTTTGTTTCTTTTTTGAGGTGGGGAGTATATTGAGATATGAAGCTGACCTTGTGAGGGTTGAATCATCTTGTAGTGTCGTATGGCTTGAAGTCCTACATGAGGCTAGGGCAGGCATTCACCTTCTTGTCCTAATACAATGAATTCCGAAAGCTGCACACATTCAGGGCAATTAAATTACACATTTCAGTAGAAGAATGTTTTGGTGGACCAACTCTGGAATTAGAGGTATCAGCTTTTGTTTTGATCTGCATAAACTTTATGTTAGTGGGACAGCCAAGGCAGGATGCACTGCTCTGCACTTTTTAGGTTATCGTAAGTGGCTTCTGGCTATTACTTCCCCTAATAAATTAATCTTCCTGTAGTTCTGCTGCTTGCACGTGAGTGTTTTAGATAACCTAGGATGCCTCAAACAGCTCTTAATATCTGTGTTTAGGCAGGTGAATGAAATCCAGTCTTTCTTCTGCTTCTGCTGCTCAGCCTCTCGGATAGGTTATTGTTTGTTTATATTTTTTATTTTTTCTGAATGACTAAGTGAGCTAACACGAGGTATCTGTCACTGTGCAAGTCACAGTGAAGGGACATTACAAGTTTACTGGAGGCTGGAAGAAGCTTTTGAAGTTTTCAATTTCAGTCAATTATATGTTTGTTGTGGTTTCTTTCTTCAGCTTTCTTCAGTTTTCCACTAGTTTAAATCTGGTCTGAAACCAAAAATGAGTGCTCCCTATGCAAGCAGAGGACTACAGGGCTGTTCTAACGCACTACACACTACACATGTGTCTGGGGGGGAGATACGTAAATAAATAATTGTGCACTGCATGAATATAGAAAAATATTTCCATACCTGATGAAAGAAATGAAGTGTGATGTAGTTTGGGAACAGCCAGTGCCAGGCTCTGTATGCCATTGCACAGCGTTAATTTGATTCTGTGCTAATCTTTGAAAGTTTCTGTTGGTTTGGAGGAGCCTGTAGACTGCAAAAAGCCAGTAGCTTGTGCCATCCCTCCATGGTTTCATTGTATGCTGAACTAGGAGTATGCTGTATGTTCTGAGATGTATTTGTCTTTATTAGTGTGTTTTTGTTGCCTAGCTGTAGTCTTATCCCACAACAAATAAGGAAAAAAATCTGATGATTCTCTTCAGCAAGCCTGGTTCTGACCTTACATATACTCATTCTTGGTGATTGTGAATCCATTGACTTCAGACATTACTCCTGATTACACCAGGGTCATGTCATAATGAGGGGCCAAGGTATTAAATGGAAATGAACCCAATAAAGCCATCAAGCTTAGACCTACTCTGTCCTCATGTGCTTCATCTGAACAATAAGAACTGGTGGTTTATAAATCATGTTGTCTGTTTGCTTCTTCACCATTTAGTTCTTTTTTTTTTTCCATTGAATAAATGAAGATGTTCTGACCTTAACTTATCCCTTGTGAATTTGTTTTAAAAAAGCAGGATAGCTGCAGCCCTCCAATGTGACTCAAGCTTTTGTTCGGAATTAGTGAGCGTCATCTTATTTTTTTAAAGGAAACACATTTCACTTGACCTCTAGGGTCTGCCTGGACTTGTTGTATCCTCATTTTCATCAGTTTATCTTCACGGCTAATTTTTAAAAATATTTTTCTACATTTGCAGAAGGAAGACTGGCCAATGCATAAGCTAGAATGTTCCGCCATGTGTGCTTTTGGGCAGAGCTGGAATCCCTCGGAGACAGTGAGGCTAACGGCGAGGATCCTTGCCAAACAGGTGAGCAGAAAACTGGACTTGGGAGGTATGTTCCTATGCTGTGTGCCAGGGAGGACAGGAAAGCAAAAATTGACCTGCAGTAACTGTCCCAGCAAAGCACAGACATTCTGGCTTCCTGTGAACAGATAGATGAGTGTAATGCAGTGTGTGAACAGCTGAATGAATGGATCATCAAACCTCTGTAGTAGTGTCAGCAGCATCGTGGTAGTCTAGCTGAAGACTTAGGGGAAGACAGTAAAATTATAGTGAGTCTTTAAGCTGTCTAGCTGTATCTTGTGGCCCAGGTAGTGTTGAATGGAGTCTGGAGAAGTTTACCAATAAGACTGACAATGTATGCAGTGTTTCAGAGTCTGTTCTGGTAGATTTGAACTCGTTACATGTGTGGGCTAGCACCATGCCTATGCTATTGTTAGAGAAAAAACAAATGAGACCTGATATGTACGGTTAAATTCTGAGGGATGCTTCTAGTTGCCTGCTGTACTGTTTTTTCCAGCTTATAACTGTATAGCACTGCCCAGAGTCAAGAACACCTCTGGGGTACTCACATATTGGTGTTTGCGATTACTGGAGTTAGCTGGTGAAAAACAGATTGAAAGAACCTTGATCTTTGGTGAGAAGGAATGTCAGTAGTGAGGACGTAAGATTGCAATGTCAACCACGTTTCAGTGTTCCTTACCATATGGAAACTGAGGGCAACACACGTGCTAACAGAGACAGGAAAGGTTATTACGCCGTGTCTCTTTGCAGAGCTCTAAACTCTCTGCAAAAACAAATCCTCTTTTAAGCATATTTGTGTGATTGAGGTCTGCTTATGTGGCAAGGGCAACCTGGATACCGTATGGAGTGAGGATTTTGGTGGCCCGCTGGGAAGGTAGCTGCTATAGTTGCTGTGTGTGTGAATGTATGTGTGTGACTTAATTAAAGTACAGCTTGGTGCTGATCCACAAACAAATTCGGATGTTTAATGACAAAAAGTCATTGGAATAAATTTGTGCTTTTATTGCTTACGAGGAGGGGGGAGAACCCTCCATGTCATATAACAGCTAAATATGCAAACCATGGTCCCTGAACCTCAGCTGCTGGGCCACCTGCAAAGCCATATTTAATGGCCAAGATTACAAAGAAGTGGCCTTAGGCCAACAATGGAGCATTGCTTTTGAACTCTGTCAACAGTCAGTTTATTCACTTTCCTCAAAGCGGAGCCCGGCTCCTGCCTGCTTGCTATTGTTAGCAGCTTTCTGGGTGTCTAGAACAAAGCAAATGACATATTTAAAATACCGTTCAGTTTATGTATATAAATTTGATAAAAGTTAATTTTTGGTTGCCTAATTTGATGCAGAGAAAATATTTCTATGGTTTAACTAAGAGCAGTCAATTTAACTCATTGCTGTTTGACTTCCATAAATTTCATATGCATGCTTTTATTTGATTTACAGGTGAGAGTCCTCAGCTTATAACAGCATAAACAAAACAGCCTACTTGGAAACACTAAAATATTTTCTTCTTGTTTCTCTTTTGCCCCCTTATTGCTAGAAAATTCACCCTGAGAGAACACAGTCAGAGAAGCTGCTTGCTGTGAAAGAATTTGAATCACGTAAGTAAAAACAGGGGAGTTGTTTGTGTTTGCTTTACACCTTGCTCCCCTCCATCAACACTTTTTGGAGCATCTGACTTTTTGTTTTTTTCTTTTTGAATAAGGAATAAAGAGAGAAAGCTGTGGTACCTAGCATTTTGAAAGTCTAGTGCTATTATTTCTTCTTTTTTTTTTTTTTTTCCTGGTTGCTTGTAGGGTTGTGAAACAAGGGTGAAAACCTAGACAGAATTAATGATGTAGCATACATCCATCTCATGGCTTTTCTGGTACTCTGCTGTCTTTTGAGAATTGTAATGTTGTAAAATTAAAATAGCTGGTATTTGTTACCAGAAGGCATAAAATCAGAGACAGCATAGTTGCTTGATGGTGACAGTGACTAAGGGGCTAATTGCAGAACCCTCTGGACTGTGCTTCACTATCTGTCACTGCCAGTCAAATCTGACATGTTATATGTGATTGTGTTGAAATTCCATGTCCTAAATGCTCTAAAATAATCCGAGGAAGGATATGAGGCAATGGCTTGCGTTTAACTGCAAGGCTACTCTTTACATCCTGTTAGGCAGAGTTAGAAATTGAGCAACTAGGGGACTAATATCTGTCCTGGCATTTCCACTGGTCTGTCATTTCTCTTTCTTGGTGCTGGAGGCAATATACAAGGAGACAGTAGGTTTATATATTCACATTTCTCACTGATTGGAAACTGAAGTTTCCAAAACCCTTTATAAAAAGCTGAATAAATGCAGCCAGTGCTAGAAGTTGAGGTAGCAAGGTAACAAAAACCATCAGAATTAGGATTTAATTTACTTCCTGGATAAAAGCTATCACAGGTCTTTGGACAACTGGGGAAGTAAAGGGGGAAAATGCCAACATTTGACCTTTTGTAAGGCAAGGCTAATTTTTGAAGATAGGTTATAAGTTTGAGGTCAGGAAAGACAGATAAGTGCTGAAATAATTTCTGTATATTCTTCTATTTGCAATGTGTTTTCAATAATGTATTACTTTGGGAGCTGAAAGGCAGATGTGTTTTGGTTTTTTTTTTCCAGTTGCAATGTCTCCCTGATCCTCTAGGAGCCCTTATTTTGTTTCTTCTTTGGTAGTAAGATTCTCTCCTACTATTTCTGCCTTGTTGATTCTCCTCTTACCACACCTTCATCGTGCTCTTTGTAACAACTTACACAGGAGAGGAAAAGGCACCTGATTTCTAACTCAAAGTTGAAAATCTATTTCTGGCTTGTAGTAATTATCATCAAATTATTGCATTTCATTTCTCCCAATGTTTTTGTGACTCTCCTGTCACTCACATCTGCTTTGACAAATGCTTCTTCCATTGTTGTGCATTCTTTTTCAGAATGTTTTTCTCTACTGTGATTTTGTAGAGGGGAAACTGATGAGTTGCTGTCACTGTCTTAGAACAGGAAAGAGCAGATGGCATTGCTACAGTGAGAAAGAGGATTAGGAAAAACTTTGCAGAATTCTGCTCCTGAAGACTGAAAGGGCTTAAGGGAGGGAAAGAATCAAGAGTATAGTGTCAGTGATCCAGCTCAGTTTGCATGGATCAAGCACCTAAAGGTCCTGTGGGCCACAGCTTCTCCTACTACTTGTCAAGGCCCTGAGGGTACATCTCTGAGCAAACCCTGAGGGGAGTACAGTTGGCAGGTGAGGCCAGGACACTTTGCCTGATGTTCTTGCCATCTCTTGTTATCCTCATGTACCAGCAGATGAAAGGCACCTCTGTGAATTGCCCTGTAGCTCCCAGAGATGTGGGTGTTTCCAAGTGCTGCTGCATGCCAAAGCTGGTCCCTGCAGTAGGTTAAAGTGTGTTGCTTTCCAGGCAACCTTATATTATGCTCCTCTAACTGCAAAGGGAGCCGTGGTGACTAGCCCCAGTGTTAACATCAGACTTTGTGAAGTCACAGTCACACATGGCTACAAGTAGTTAGGGCCTCTGCTGGGAAAGACCATGTATTTTGAGAGCAATAATTTTGAGAGCAAAAATAAGTATTTTATTAATATAAAATATAATAATATAAAATATAATAGTATTCCTTATCTGACCGGTTGATACTGATGAAGATTAGGCCTGTATGAGGGACTTACACTCTGTAAAGCATATTTGAAGAAATGTTTTATCTAAAAGCATTTTGTACTACAGCAGATGGAACCAGATAGCTCATAAAGTCATCTTAAACAGCTGAGGACAGTTAGCTGCAGTAGATACGCTTCTAGAGAGATGGCTTGTCTGCTTGCTAGGGCTAACAAATGCCTATTAAACAGTGTAACCTTTCTCCCAGCAAAGATAATTTTTTGTCCATTTACCACATGATGTAAAGATGTTTAGAAAGTGATTTTTAATCCTGCATGTTCTTGTAGTATAAGCGTGGCCTTGGCAGAAGAAGCATTATCCTTATGGAAGAACAGACGCTTCTGTGCTACTTCCGAGTAGCTGTTCCATGAGGGGTTTCTGTTTAAGTCCAGGCTTGTTTAACTTAAGCCTAACTGAAGTTCACTGAGGAGTGTTCCTCTTACTGAAATGGAATGTATTCTTTGTCCACAGACCTTGACAAACTAGACAATGAAAAGAGAGAGCTGATTCAGAACGACATTGCTGCTCTTCATCACTTTTATTCAAAGCACATGGAGTACCCTGACAATGCTGCTCTTGTAGTTCTCTTTGCACAAGTAAGTTGGCTAGAATGTAGTCTACTTAGGTGGATGGTACTGTAGGAGGAGTTCAGCCTTTGTGAAAGGGGCAAAATCTTACTGGTGATGGAAGTGATAGCTCTTTGCTTATCTTGAGGAGAGCTGAGTGTGCTTGATGGCAAAGGTGCACTTCCTTGGCCAGAAGTGGCTGGACGCTCTCCATTTCAGTAGTGAGGGAGAGATTCTTATCTTCAGATTTTTTGCAAAGTGCTTTTCAAACATGAAGAAAATGGGAAACAGCCTATAATAGACTCTGTCCAAGTTAGGCCTTGGGCCAAGCATTAGCGCAGCTGTTGGTGGACATACAAAGAGAGGTACCTGCCTTCAAAGGATCTCAACAGCAGAGAATAGGAAAGAGCAGCCTGATATTTTATCTGACCTATGGCTTTTAAATGCAGTCAATTAGTTTTGTCATCTGGAGAGATGAAGGCAAGGCAGGATCTCTTGTTAGATCATTTCTAGAATATGTCACCTCTCTTCTCTCACCTGATTTTCATACACATCAAATGTGTTGTCATGGGTGAAATAATGCAGAAATGGAATGCTGAAAGAACCCTCATGTTTTTTTTTCTTCTTTTTCTCCTGTACTTCAAGACAAGCTAGTTTTAAACTTCTGAGTAAAAAGTTTGATTTTGAGCTATGAATCAATGTCTGATGCAGTGAAAGCTGAAATGGCACCTCCCTCTTCATGTAGCCAGTAGTGTATCAGTAAGGAGACACTGTTACTATTGCCTTAATACAGGCACTGTTACATTGTAGAGGAATGATTCTTCAGTGTATGTGGCATCTGTTCTTCATTCAGTTGTTCCTAACTGTGCATTTCCCTTCAGTAAAAAGTTTTTCTATTTTTAAGACTTGACAGTATGACTTGTTGGAGGGATATTTTAAAGAAATCTGTACATCCAGTTTCTTGCATTGTTTCTGTATAGTTTTACTGGAGTGTAGCTAGAATCCCCCAAAGAAAGTTATTTTGTATAATAATTTTTTTTTCATGCCCTTTCCTGAATGCTTCAGGTGACTACTGTGAGCAGTTGACTCCATGAATTGCTGTTCTATCCAATCTTCCCTCTGGGTGCCTAATGTCACCTGTAGGTGTCAAATGAATTCATCTTAATTGTGAGACAGTTATCTTCAACTGTAAACATTGATATTTTTGTAATTGAAAACTCCAGAGATGATCTGGAAGTTCCAGAAGGGTATTTTACAGGATACAGCTTTTTGAGGTTTTGGCTCCATTATGCATCATTCTGGAAAAAGCAGAGCTCGGTCTGTACTTGATGCATACAAACACATTTTCTAATGATTAGTTAACCTGAGCTAAAAGCTAAAAGATGTGGTGCTGTGCCTTTGTTTTGCTTCAATAGTTTCTCTGGCTTTGCGTTTTTACTTTGCTTCTCCATTTGTTCTTTCTCCCTGTAGCTGAGGGCAGCTGTTTGGCAATAGAATACCTCGGACTCCTTGCTAAGTGCTTTTTGGGGTTTGGCCTGGTGTAGCTCCTTTCCACCTCAGATAAGGCACAATGATTTAAGAGTGGAGCAAAGATTTTTGTTCAAAGCATCCTAGTCCTTCAATGCTTTCTTCCCCAGCTGTAGGTATCCTTCTACTCTCTTTTGTCCCTCTGGAGCATAACTGGTGAGACTATCACTCTACCTGCTCAGTCTCATCTCATTGTACTCCTCAGTTTCTCTCTTCTTTCAAGTTCTGGTGTCCCATCCTTTCCTGTGCCTTACTTTGCGCCTTCTCTGTTCCACCATTGGGAACAACTTTGGTGTCTCCTTTTCTTGCTCAAGTCTCTTTACTCTTGCCTTGTTTCCTTTTTTAGTCATGCACTCCTCTGGGAAAACAGTGCTATCTCATCCCTTCTATTTGCTCCTCGTGTGTCATTTGTGGTATGATGCATTCAAGAAGTGGGTTGTCTCTGGCTTAGTGCAGGGGAATTGATGATAACTCACTACATATTTTTAAATATTTTCCTGTGATTCAGATCCATCAAGCTGTTCTCTATGTCAGCCTTTGTAGCCTTATGTTCTTACTTGCTGTTGATATAATCTTTCTCTTCTATTGCTTTTGTGTTTAGCAATTACATTTTGGTTTTGGTTCAGGTATGCTCATATGTTGGCTATTGCTCATCAGAGAGCCTTTGGATGCTAACTTGCTAAAACAGAGAAATAAAGAACAAATAAATTCACCAAAAATACTGGAAAGTGAATCAGAGATGCAAGACACTTAGCTGTGAACTCATCCTGAACAATTCATAACTGAGGGGTGGCTTTGAAAACCATTTGTGCATTTCTGAAATCTAGTCCAAGCTGCATTCCAGCCTGGGGGGCATCAGTAGTGTTTGTTGTCACCTCCTGCCGTTCCAGAACACTCACTTACACTGTGCTTGATTGAATGCTCTTGTGCCCATTATAGCTTCAGCTGGACTTCGTTATGTGACTGTAGTTCTTTCAGTGTTTTTCTGGCACTTCTGTGAGGATTTTAAGGATTTTAGGGGAGAGGCTGGTGAGTGAGGCTAGGATTCTCTGGGCTGGCATGTATGTGACTTGCAGTAAAAATGGAATAAAGTATTCGTTTGAGGTACAGCTAGGTCACTTAAGTCAGACAGAGTTGAAAGTCTGGAAACATTCCTTTGAGCTTAGTGAGAATAAAACAGGAGAAGGTTTTAAAACCTGTTTGAACCTATAAGAAATATATCTGAATAAGCTTTTTAGTCTCTGATTAAATCACTATTATGCTTCCTCAAGCATTCTGTTCTTTTTCTGTCCTCTTCTATGCCTATATGAGGTTCTAGTCTATTCCTATGTTCTTCATGTCTGCTTCTACTGTAGCTCATACTTGCAGCCTTTGACCAGGTGACATCCTCAGTGTGCCACATTTCAGTAACACATGCTCCTTCAAAGCTCTGCAGTGCCCCAGCCTGGCTGACTTTGCTGCTACTCATCCCTGTGTTGTTCCTTGCATGCAAGTTCTGTTTCAGCCCGTTGTTGGTAATGACCAATTGAGATCTCCTTGTCCTGTTGTTGTTACACGTGATGTTTGCAATGGTCTTGCTTTGTTGGACACTCTTTGTGGTGCTTTGTTCAAGCCTCGTTTCCCTTGATTGGCATTTTGAGGTGTAATCCCTTTGGTGCTGTGTCCTGAGCAGAAGCAAGTATTGGAATGACAGTTCTTTGTAGTCCTGCACGTTCCTTTGGAGATGGATTTTGTCCTCACTTCACTGTTTGAGATGTCATGTAATTTCTCCATGAATACAGCTGACATGTAAAGAAAACTGTAAGCAAATGGTGGCTGTTAACTTTTAAGTATGAGAATGCCATGTAAGTTGACCAGAATGTGAGTTAATCTCTTTCTCTTTTTTCTTAGGTTAACTGCAATGGTTTCACGATTGAAGATGAAGAACTGTCTCATTTGGGATCAGCCATATTTCCTGAGTAGGTTAAGCTTAATATTTAAAAAAAAAAATAAGAACAACTTATTTAAAAACAAACAAAGGCTCTTTCGCATGTTTAGAAGTAGGCCTGTATTGAAAGAAATTAAATCAAAGAGTTAGTATTAATTTGTCATGTTTAAAATATGTTAACTAATTCAATCTGCCAGTGATTTGCAGCAGTTCTGCTTATAAATCTAGTAAACTTGGTAAAATTGTACTTGGAATCTGTTTTGAAGTCCTGTAGTTCTGGCTGTGAACTACACACAGGTTGGTAGGAGACAGACTTACTTGGCTAGCAGGTTCTGGACGGGGACATCAAGTAATGATCAAAGCTAAATGAAAAGGACTGTAAGTGACTTGCTTTATCCACAGGTTTCTGCATTGCTTGGGTATAATGCTTCACCTGATGCTAGCAAAAAACCATCCCTTCTACCTTTGTTCCTCTGCAAAGCATAAATCTTTTTCATAACTTCAGCCTCCTCAGATGTTTTATAAACTGCCATGCTTTATGTTGCTTCAACAGTGGGAAAAAATATGTGCAACCTCCTCAGCTTTACAAACAAACTGCAGATGTTAGTCATTAACTGCAGTTTGTGGATTGGGAGGTACAGCTCTCTGTGAGGCTGTGTAACTTTTTTCCCTTTAAGTCTGTACTTCCCATTCTGCCTCTGTTCTTTGCAAACTCCACACTGCAAGTGCTATCAGCTCTACTTATATCAGCTTCCCTGTGAGGTGTGGATTAGTAGTAATTATGTCAAAGCAATTTCAAATGTCCTGGTGCCCTGTTAGAGAAGGGTTTGATTGCTGTATACAGATCCATGCTTCAGGAGGGCTGGAGTGTTTATTTCTTATCCCTGGAGGCCATGAAATCTTGGCCAGGAACAGGGTCATGGTGGGAAGAGAATAATATGAAACCAGGATCACTTGGAATCAAGTGCAACACCATTCTTTGTTTGTCAATGATTATTATTTCAATAGCTCTGAAGAGAAAGAATTAAAATTCAACGTTTTATCTTAAATAAGCAGCAAATTGCACTTCCTGGCTTAGTATGAGAGGAAAGTATTTTTCAATAGCAGTCTTGAGCTTTTTTGTGTAACTTGTGTGCTGATATATCACACAGAGATCTCCTTCTTCCCACTTTAAGCATGGAAGCTGTTTATCTTTGCAAGAAGTGAGATAAAATTTTAACACTGATCTTAAATGTGTCTAGCAACTGCATTTGTTTGTTTCCTTGTAGCTAAGTGGGTTTCTCTTTCTTCTCAGAGGAAAATGGTCTGCTTCTTACAAATGGCTAAATAGGTTGTTGGAAGTTAAGGTGTGCAGATACCCTGATCAGCTGTACTGTTGCACTCTAAGAATGGGAAAATAACTTGCCTTGTCTGGCTATAATAAGATACTACAGTGATTCATTAAAATGGCCATTTTCCATATTGATAGGATAAATTAAAACACAACAGATTTTCCCCAGGTTACCTTCATATTAAGCCTCACTAAGAGCAGCTTGTAGAGGAAGACTGACTTGGTCTTTTCAGGCTTGTTTGTTTTGTGAAGTTTTGCTTAACTTTCTGCCTGTTGCTTTTGGTGGAGAGGGAAAAATGTTCACTTTTCTGCTTTTACAGTGTTGCACTGATGAACCATAGCTGTTGCCCAAATGTGATCGTAACTTACAAAGGGACAGTGGCTGAAGTAAGAGCTGTGAAAGAGATTGAGCCTGGAGAAGAGGTAGGTATACTGCTTGAATGTATCCCACTTTCAGACTTTGTTCCAATTAGATGACAGTTTAATAATAAGAGGGGAATGATCTCTTGTTTCTCAGAGAAGCCTGAGATGTGGTTTTATGGTGGTGCAGGAAGGCTGAAGTGATTCTAGGAGGCGGTGTCCTATTTTGTGTTAAAACAGGGGATGGGCACCTGCATCAGTCACTGCATGTCTGCTGGCCTCCGTCTCAATTTATCCATCTGTAAAAGGAGGCTTAATTTGCTGATGTTTGGCTGGTGCTTTGAAATTCCAAGATCAAAGAAAATTATTACTGCTGTAATAGCTCCCAGTATAATAGTAATGGAAGTGAAGCCAGAATAAACAAGGTAAATGGGAACAGATAAGTTCTCTTACTTCTGTTTCAGTCCCATGTGTTGTGGATGCTCTGTCCAGTCATATCACTCAGCAGAGTTGAGCTGTGTAATCACAAAAGAGCTAGAATATGTTTTTAGTTGGAGCAAAGCCGAACAGTGATGGATAAACTAAGGCCCTGGTAAACTTTCTCAGTCAAGTAATGAACTTGGCAGCAAATCTTCAGCTGCAGAGCTTATTTTTACTTTAATAAAATTAATATATATTTTTTTTTTATTTTAAAATTAAGAATATGTAAGTTAGGCAGACTTGGGGAAATTGTTCCTGTATCTACAGGGGATGAGAATACTCCGGGGATGGAGTTCGTGTGGAGGTTCATTGTGGGTCATTTGCCCACAGGGTTAATTTAGCCTTCAAGGTTAATGCTGATCAAAACAAATTCAGATTTGACTTTGACAACTCCAGCTGATTTCTCAAGTGTGTAATAGTAATTTTGGAGAAGGTGATAGGGGTGGTTTTCCTGGATTGCAACTGTTCACCATTGTGAACTGAGTGACTTCAGTTGCTGGGACAGAGGTAATGCAGGTGAGCAACTTCTCAGTGTGCTGTTTATTATGATCTCACTGTGGTGGTGTTGGCACTCACTACAGATGCCCTGTGGTAACGGACAGAATAATCAGTTTTGGAATTTTCCCATGGAGTCTCAGGCATTTTGGAGAGCAATAAGAGGTGGAAGTGAGGAGCATTCTACTACCTTGCTGACATCTTCTTTTGGTTAAACAGTGTTTTCGAAGCTGCATCGCTTCTATAGGACCTCACTGCTTTTGTGCAGTCAGTCTCTCTTCTGATGTTTAAGAATTTTACAGAAGTGGGCCAGTGATTTTATTTGGGCCCAGCGCAGTCTTACGGCCTATGTCTCCACCTTCAGATTCAATATAGGCATTGCATCAGAAATCTAAGTGGTTGCTGTAAATGCTGTTCCTGCGTTTTACATGCTTGGAAGGGAAGAGGGGAGTGTGGGAGAAGCTGTGAGATAACAGAGAAAGATTGGGAGCGTATGTAACATCAAATTACATGTGCATTTTACTTTGAAAAAACTGAAGATGAGGAAATGAAACTAAAAGTCTTTCTTGGTCTGCAAAGTTATCAACTGCATCCCCTATGGCGTATTTCTTGAGGGAGATGTCATTTAAAAACAGCCAGTTGAAGGGTTTCTTTTCTGGTGATCATTGAAATAAAGGAAAACTCTAGAACAGTGCATGTGAAAGGCTTTTAAAGTGATCAAAAGTAGGTTTTCTTTAAGTGTTGCCGCTGAAGTAAATTTGATGTTCATCTTCCTAGAACTAGAGCACTGGGCCTTCTTTTCAGAGATCTAAAGGTCTTCTCCTAAGTTTCTAAAGCTACCAGTGGCTGTTGTTGCCCCAGTTTTACTCAGTTTTCAGAAGGAAAAATTTGAGACTCCAGCCTCCAAAAAACCAGGCCTCTGTGATTTATACCAGGCTGGATACCTGAAGTCATTATTTTACTTCTGAAAAGTCGGCATCTCTTTGTAGTCTTGACAGGAATCTGATATTTATGGTGTTGTAGTTTCCTTATCCACACCTGAATCTTCCTCTCCTGGATCTAAGCCAGCATAATATGTGAGGGAAATTCCATACTGAATAGGAAAGGAAACACTTCTTTGTCAAGTTGTGTTCACAAAAGACAACTCCCAATGCTTCTGAGAGGTTTGGAATGTGAGGGGAGAGGCAGTTGATATGGCTGCAGGGATTCACGAATTGGGTCAGTCATACTAAATATGATTTCCAGGACTGGTAGCAATAAATACGTGTATTTGTACTGCTTTTCATTGACTATTCTGTTTTTGCTGCCTAGGTTTTTACCAGCTATATTGACCTGTTGTATCCCACAGAAGACAGGAATGACAGGTTAAGAGACTCCTATTTTTTCACTTGTGATTGCAGGGAGTGCACTATGAAGGAAAAGGTAATAACGGGATTAAATTGGCATGAAATGATTCTGAGTGTCAGGGCACTTACCCAGCTCCCTAGATGTGATATTCTATCTGATTTAATTAAATGTTGGAAAGTAGGGTAATAGAGAGAGGGCTTGTTTTTTGTTTTTCTGCCTGTAAGACTTTCTTATACTCATTCTTTCCTGGCGTTTCAATTATGACACATCATAAAATTTCCAGGTGGATGCTCATTTAAAGTTGATCTACAAAGTGAAGACAAGAACTCTGTTAGAAGTAGGTAATTATGCTGCGTCTACGCTACCTGGCCAAAAGAATTTAGATCAGAACTGAGTTTTGTAACTGCGTGTTTTCTGACTCAGTGAGCCTTGGTTGGGGCATTTTTGGTGGTCCTGTTCTGGCATGGAGTTCTGCCATAGTCCCTGGTTAGGACATCTCTGTCAATTCTGCGTGTATGATTTTGCTGGATTATTTGGAGACCCAGCAGAATTTGTGAAATGGGATTTCCTGCAAACAGCATCATAGCATTCTTGTCACTGACAGGACAGTGTTGGGTCACAGGCCAGATTTCATTGGACATCACTTGGTGCCTTTCAAAGGACAAAGGCAAATGTGCAGACAGTGTTCCTTAAAACAGAGTGTTAGTTACTTTGAACAAAAGCATTTGTCATGGGAGGGAAAGGCAGCTGAACTCAGCAGATATCAACAGCAGCTGTTCCTGTTCTGCCAGTTGGTTGATTGTCCTTCAGTGTAGGTCCTAGGAGAACTAAGCTTCTTGCAGCAATTCTGTCATTCTAGTCAAGATAGACAGTCAAGACTGGCATAATTCATGATCCTCAAGTTCTAGATCATTTCCTCTCTGCATTTTCACAAAGTGCCCATTTAAGAGCTGCTACCCAAAGTGACCAGCCATCTCCTTTCCTCTACGTAGTGTGTTCTGTAATTTTTTTCGAAATACTACTCAATATTCGCATTTGAGGCCATTTTGTTGACACTGAAGTTGTGTTTTCTCCCACAGTTACCTCAATCATTTTGCCACTGAATTAATAGTAGCCAGGATTTCACTGTGATTTCTAGTAACTTGCTGCTCATGGAATCACCTGTCACTCAGCCTCCTTCACTGCTGGGAAGACTTCTCTGTATTTAGCTGACAGTTGAAATCATGAGGGTTAAAAGAAATCTAGCTACAGTGTGAGGTTTAAACAGTAAAAGATTATCTCCAGATTGCAGCTGACTCTTCATGAAGTACTAAGTTAGATAAAAAGATAAGAATAAAGGGAGCTGTCCAGCAGAAAGCCATTTTGTTGTATATAACAAAACATGTGGAAATACATTTTTGTTTGTAATTATGAAGGCTACTTTTCTCATTTAATATCATTCCATTTTCCACTGAGCTATCACATGGAGGAAGGCCTAAGGTATTTGGGCTTTTCTAGCCTTAAAGCTAAATATATTTTAATCCCTAATCTCTCAAAAGCAGTAAAATTTTCTATGTAAAGCTGCTTTCATCACAAAATCGAAAAGCTCTTGGATCTTTCAGAAGAAGGGACGTCGTGTAAGTAGAGGATGGCAGATGAACTGGGAGGCAGAGGATTCTAGGATTCCCAGCCACGTTTTTAGAGAAAATTGCAGGTGCACATTCTACCCTTGTTTCTACGTTCTTCGACAAGCTTAAGTCTCCATCTGTGTCTTTTTATTAATTTTGTGCAGCAGATGCACCTTTTTTTGTAGGGCTTGGAACCCGCGTTCATGACATCCATTGTGTTTCCTTCAGGATAAAGAGAAACTGAAAATCCGCAAGCTGAATGATCCTCCATCAGCAGAGGCGGTACGAGACATGATCAAATATGCCAGGAACGTGATAGAGGAATTCAGACGAGCCAAACACTACAAATATATCCTTTGTCTCACCTTGTCTCCACTGGCTTGGTCTGCAGCCTAAAGCTTACGTGCTGACTTGCTTCAGAAGTACCTGGAGGAGAAGTACTATGACCTAGAAGTTAAACATACCTCTGTCCTTGTCATGCCTGGAGAGTTCTCTTGTCTCTTCTGGAGACAAGAGGCAGTTTGGCATTGCAAGCGTGGGGCTGTGGGACCCTGTGTGTGTTGGTTCCTTGCAGTTGTCAGTTTCTAATAGCACACCATACATTCTCTGCACAGAACAAGACAGAGCCTGGAATGAGCACAACGTTGTGTTTTTTAGTGTGCAGTAATGTTCCCTGGTTTTGAGGGACTGCATGTGAGGCTGCAGCTAGTGTTTGTGGTCACTAGCCTACCTGTCCTGACTGGAGGGATGGGACAAAAATGAAAGATGCACTGGGCCAGAAGCAGACCTGATTGAGTAACCACCTCACAGGGAATCTCACTGCTCCTTCATCTGACAGATCACTGGAGCAGCAGTGGCTCAGGAAAGCAGATTTCTGTGTTGCTTTTTTAAATGCGAAGGTTACATTTGTAGAAAATCTGGGTAGGAGGGGGAATAATCTCATGAGCAGTGCCTCTGAGCATGGAATACCTCACAAAGTAGCACAGAAGCATTGATGCCCTTCGAGAGAAAAAAGACTTTTCAGAGCCATTCTGAATAAGGTTAGGGCATTTTTTTTTCCTGAGATTATCTGGTAGCTGTCTGATCAGAAACTGTGCATTGGCTTCCTTGACTTCTGCATACCTCCCAGTGAATTACTGGAGATCTGTGAGCTCAGCCTGGATAAGATGGGTGCAGTGTTTGAAGACAGCAATGTCTACATGTTACATATGATGTACCAGGCCATGGGTGTCTGTCTGTACGTGCAGGATTGGGAAGGTGCACTGCGTTATGGGCAAAAAATTATCAGACCATACAGGTAAATATGAGACCTTTTTTTTTTTTTTTTTCCCTTAATGCTCCAATTCAGTAATCTGAATAACTAAAACAAGTCTGAGCAGAGATTGCTTCTCTGAGTACTTAATGTACAAACGCACTACCTGTGACATCACTGCTTGAAATGGAGTGCTTGCATTCAGCAGTTTGTTACTATCAGAGTGTGACATACAGTACACAGCTTCAGTCTGAAGTTCATGTTTTGAGTTTTAGAATACGTTTATCCCACCACGGGTACTGTGCTAATTCTGGTTGTTTTTGTTTTTAATATTCTCCTACTAAGAAGACTTCACTAAAACAGAGCTTTAAAGTGTGCCTGCAGTCCATTTTTGTGTAAGGTTATGGAGGCAAAGCCGGGTATTACTGCCAGCTTCCCACCCCGTCCCAGCTCCTTCTCTCAGCAGCAACTGCAGGAGCAGGGCAGGGCCCAGGGCTGGCGCTGAGCAGCAGAGGGAGCTGGAGCTGAGCTTAAAGGTGCCCCACGATCCTGCTCTCCACAGCGCCCTAGAGCTGCAGGCAGGGGAGAGCGTGCAGACTGCAGCCCTGTGTGGAACAAGTCAGCACGTAACCTCTGTAGGATACAATTAGTATTTTCCCCAGTACTTTTTTTGTATTTTTACAGCAGTGGTCTTATTCTCTAGAGCCAGCCAGTTACACACTGCATGTGATCCTGCCAGTGGGTCTCCCAAGCAGATTCTCATCTTTGAGCCTTGACTCTCCTGCCAGCTGGGAGGAGCACGAGTGGAGCTCTCCCTGTGGAGCAGATGCCAACGTCAAGTCACAGATAGCTTGGCAGAGAGCAGTGATACAGAGAACGAGCCAGTGCTTTCTCCCTGGGGACTCTGTACTATTTATCTTCCCTGGGACTTGCCCGGCTCTTCTGGCTCCAAGCCTGGCATTCCAGGTCAGCTCTGCTGAACTGAGCTCCGTCAGCTCAGTGAGAAGCAAGTGCGGGGCTGATAAGTGCTGCATACCTTGTTGAGGGACCCCAGCTTTCCATTAAAGACTGACCGTTATGGGATAAGCAGAGTTATTTCTGCAGAGGGTGAAAAATGGTAACAACGCAGTCATTTTCTGTAGCTGGAGAGATGAAAACCAGTGACAGAAAGTCACTGCCATCTGACAGCTGTTCAGAGGCATACGGTAGCTTCAGTTCAGTTCCCAATGCCAGGCAGCACCATCCTAGAAAAAAACTGGCACTGGCTCTTGGCAGTACAGCAGAGGGGCTGAGCAGTAAATGGGCAGGGGCAGGAGAGGCAGAGCAGGGGGCAGGGGGGAGCTCTGGGTCTGCTATGATTGATAAAGTCTATTTTCTTTCTCCTTTGCAGTAAGCATTATCCCTCCTACTCGCTGAACGTTGCCTCCATGTGGCTGAAATTAGGGAGACTGTACGTGGCACTGGAGAACAGACCAGCTGGAGAGAAAGCCCTGAAGAAGGTATTTCCTGATTTCTTCATTAATAATAACAATTCAGGCATAGAGTCATTGGAACGTGACATGCTACTGTTGGTAAGCCTGGCTTGGTGGAAAAGGCAGCATTTGTTAAGATGTTTGGTTACAGGAATTTTGGCTTAGTTGCACTCTGGGTCTGTTCTGTATTAAAAGGAGCCTTATTTTTTCACAGTGGACTTCCACTGTTACACATCTTCACTGAGCTGGAGCTGTGCTAGTGCAATTGGAGCAGAACTTCAGCTTCTCCTTACTTGCAGGGTAAGGACAGAAAAAAACACTTGGTTCTTATGAAAGGCTTCACTGATGCCTGTGATTTCTGTATCCAAGTTAAACTAGGTATGCTTTTGGTGGTTATTTGTTCTGGAACCAATTGATTTTTAAATAGCTGAAGGGAATTCAATGCATATGGTAATGCTCAACTTGGCAAATACAGCATTAGATTTTACATTTTTCTTTGCCCTTTTTTATAAGTCTGTTCCTTGTTCTTTAAGTTTTTATTCCTTTATTTTTTTACTATTCTGTTTCATGCTTCTTGACTTTCTTTCCCTACTGTCGTTGGACAAGTGTTTATTTTTGTTTCCTAAGTATCAGTGATTACTGCAGTATATAACAGCTCGGTGTGGAATGTCATGGATTTTTTTTTTTGGTTCTTTTACATTTTTGGATGCTGGCAATTTTTTAGCCAGCAACAGCAAATCTGTACAGCCTTGGTGGAGGATGGTGCAGGAATATGCACTCTCAAATGTATCCATCAGCTGATTCAAAATTAGCGTAGGTTTTTCTTCATAGAATGGCCTGGGTTGAAAAGGACCACAATGATCATCTACTTTCAACCCCCCTGCTATGTGCAGGGTTTTCACTGCGGTGCTTCAGCTCTGACTAAAACTGGGGTTGGTGCCACTGTGAACACGGGCTGGGGAGTGGGGGAGCTGTAGGTAGGGTGGTTGGCATAGTTAGCTTCCTAACACAAACATTTTCTTATGACTCATTTCCAAAAGCTGCCTGCAGGGACTGCCCAAAGTTATCCCAGCCCCTGAGGTTTAGAATTCAGTGGAAAAACAAAACCATTGTTCTCTGCCACTTTCCAGAAGCTCATCCAGAAGGCTGTCACTTCTTTGGGGGCAGGAGGGGGATGGAGTCATTTCTCACTGCTGCTGAGATAGAGCCTAGGGCTCCAGTTGTATCAACTTAACTAATAGAAGAGGATAATTCCACAGAATTTCCTGAGGGGAAAATGACTAAATGTTGTTACTGTCAGGGTGCTGCAGTTCTTTGCTTCATCTTACCACTGTGGTCTTTAAATATTCTCAGATGCTCCAAATTTACTCTTTTCGGTCCTGTCTGCTGTTGTGTCATCTTACACATGCCTGGGGCACTGCTATCTTCTTCTCAAGTGGAAATCTTCCTCCTGTAAGCCACTCTGTAGTGCAATGTGGATATTGGCAGGAGGTTGCAGGGCATTGGGTTTGGCTGTCCAGAACGTTCAGTGGTAGCAACAGAGCCATCTGTAGGTGAAGTGGCAGGGAGTCTGGCACAGCAGAGCCTCAAACTGAAGAGATCTGGTTTTCACTTCAAAAGCTGCTTCCTTCCTAAAGCATTGGTGGCCCTGGAACCAGGGAAGGGTTTACAGAATCAGGTCTGATATACCTTTTATCAACTTCTGCACTAGCCTAGCCACTAACTTGTGGCTCTGGCAGCTGAAGGATGAATTGGTAGGAACAGAGCTTCCGTCTGATACTGGTTAAGTATATACTGCCAGAATATTACCCACCCCACATGCAGTTCTCTGTCCTGGAGCTGGTTGCATTCAAAGTAATTTTGTCAGGAATATAATTTTGAAAGGTGCTTTGGGATCCTGTAGGATGAAAGAAGTATTATATGAATGTAAAAACCTTTATTACTTAGTTTTGAATTTCATTTCATTTCCTACTGGGTTTGTGACTACAAGGGGACAGAATGTAGCTAGAGGTGTCAGACTGCTTCAAACCTCTAAAGGGAGTATTTATAGCCTAGTGTTATATATGAATCAATTGTGTGAATACTTTTTTTTTTCCTCTCTTCATAGGCAATTGCCATCATGGAAGTAGCACACGGGAAAGATCATCCATACATTTCAGAGATCAAAAAGGAATTAGAGGACCACTGAGCCTTTGAATCTATGCAATCCTTCAAACCTTTATTTAAAAAGCCTTGTTATGGAAACCTTCAGGAGCGCTTTGAAAAGCGGTAGAGTATGAACACAGTTCTGTCCTATAATTGGAATGACAAACACACGTAGGGTTTGCAAAATGTTTCTAGCCTCTACAAATCTACAGTTGCCTTTTTTGTTGTTTGTTTTTGAAGGAAACAGCCATGATTACTTAGAGGATAAGCCTCTTGACTGCTCGTGCAAAAATGGCCAATTTTTCTTTAAGGATTTTAATGTGCATCTTATTAGTGTAAAATAAAGTGGTCTTGACCTCTCTTGATTCCATTTGTACACTTCCACGACTGCAAATAGTTTGACGCTTTCTCCTAAGTGGTCTCCTTTAATCTGTCCAATTATGAGCAAAACTCATACGGTTTTTATTGTTATTGTGGTTTAGTATCCAGTTTCTCTTTTCACAAATCATTTTTGCTTGCAGTGACTTAGCTGAGAGAAAGGAGAAAAAGGGCCGATGAATTCTGTGCGTCGTATAGGAAAGCCACCACCTTTCCCTCAGCAGTTCAGCTGCAGGTCCATCACTGCTCCTAGCAGGTAGGAATTTGTCACTGTAAGTACCTGGAGCTCAGCATGCGATGCACAGAGCCTGCTGGCACCTGTCTCAGAGCTCAGAAGCGTTGCACAAGATATGAACTGTGCAACTTCTGGTATTTCAATCCCCCTTATAAGTTAAGATAAACTTATTACAGTGGGTTAAAGCTATTCTACTAGCTGTTACTCTTAGTGGAGGGACAAGACCCTTTTCTGAGGAAATAATCCAGAGGACATCTGCTTTCCTTACACATCTGTAAGGCTCTGGAGTTTTTTTCCCCTCTCTTTAGATTGATGGCAGGAGATATTTTTTTTTAAAGGAGGAAGGGAGGAAGAGGAGGAAGAGAGAGTGGCTCGGTACTTCCAGTACCATTCAGAGTTATGTATATTGCACAGTAAAACTAGATGACTGTTCTTTACTGCTTTCACGGCTTAGAAAGTACAGTGAGAGCTAGCACATCACTCCTGTTTAAAAGTATCTTATTTTCTTACTTGTAAGTGTTCCTCTGAAAATAAAACACCCATAGAGCAATGGTTCACCAGATCGTTTTGCTGAAAGCTGTCAGTGCTCTTTAGCAAGCACTTGGTAGTGGAATACATAAAACTGCACCAGATCTTACGATTCCAGAGATTCAGGACCGTTTAACCACAGCCAAGCCTAGAAAGGATGTACCAGCTGCCTATTTCAAAAGCCTGCCTTAACCTTGTCATGCAGGCCCTTGTGTAGGGAAATAGCACCTTCACGTCAGAGGTGAGAAGTCCAGGCTCTGATCAGAGCTATACCTCAACATTAGAGAATGAAGAGCAGCTTAATTTGAGCACGAGTAGCTTTCCCTTCAGACACTGGTGTGCCATTTATAGAAGGTTCTTCAGATCTCAGTGTAGCTTCAGTTATGCCAATCAGGCTAACATGGAAAACTAACACAGGCACAGCAGGTGCAAATGCAGACCATCCTTAACCAGCAGAGGAAAGAACTCAAGCATTGTTTTCCTTGAAAAAAATGGTTTATTGTATATTGTGAATATGAAGGACAGCCTTACCAAAAAAAAAAACAACTTAGTGATGGAAAACATTTTCATATTTGAAAAGGCTCTATTTACATAAAGGCAGTGAAGGGTAAAAAAAAATATTGCAGTCAATTAATGCCGAATAGAACTTTATAAAAAGAGAAAGAGAAGAAACAGTGCAAAAATACTGTCAAAAGTAATCAGTTCTATACATAAGATAAAACTGACAAGCATAAGCTTATGTACTGATAAGAATAATACATTAAGATATAAAATAGCATGCATAGATTTATTTTTTTTAAAAAAAGGCTTTCAATATCATAGCATAGTTCTGCCATTCATCCCTAACAGGAGATGGGGGGACAGCAGGGGCATGTAATTGATATCCCATTTCTCTACAAAATGTATACATACAGTGAGGGTGTGAGATTCAGATTACTGTTTGAGCTAAACTGTCATGTACAGAATTACAGAACAAATACAACCAAAGCATAAAAATACTGAAGTAAAACAGGACAGTAAAATCCAGTGACATAAAACTTATTTAAACATGTTATTTCATTTAACATGACCCACACAATTGTATGTGGGAATATTACAGTCATCTGCATGTGTAAACTCTTCTCCTTTGCAAAATAGCAAAAGAAAGGTACTTAACCAATGAGGAAAACGTGTTTTCCATATGGAGCAATCTCAACAGGGTAAACAACTAACAAACTATTAACAATGTTTCTGGCACTAAAAAGCTTTTTCTTTTTAATTAAAGATTCCGAGTAGCAGCAAGAAAATACTTTTAACATACACAAAAAGGAAGTTCTTACATATTTATGTATAATTAAGTTGTGGGACTCACCAACATAGGATGTTGTGAAGGCCAGATGAATACGTGGGTTTAAAAACAATTCATTGAAGATGGAGCTATCAGTGATTTTTAAACACAAAAACTGGGATACATATAAAACTTGGGAAGCCCCTAAATCACTGATTGCCAGCCGTGCTATTGGGACTGAACCCTGTGCTACCTTCAATTATCTTTCTTCCTTTAGCATCAAATACCAGCCTGTCCTGGAAGAATTTTATAGGAAGCCTTCCTTACTCTCGCCTGCCTGATCAGGGACTGCTTCCACTGAAGTGTCTGAGTACAGAGACTCAATCCAAAACACTGACCGACAAAACTATTAAGCACTAATACTTGAGCAGATCCCTGAAATGAATATAGGTTGTTTGATTTTTGGAGGGTTTTTTCACTGTTAAAGAGTACTGGGATTCTTCAATGAGAGCTTCTACCCATGACTTCCAGGCCACTCTCCAAAGGCAAAGTCCCACTACTGCAGCAGGGAAACTCTCAGCTAAGGTGTGCGCAGCTCAAAAGTATCAACACTTCAACAATGACAAAATCATCAGCTGAAAAATGGCTGAGAGGAACCAAGTGAATTTCACTGGTTTTAGAATATCTAACAAAATCTATTTACTTTTAAATATTTATATAAACACTGCTATTTTTAAGCTGCACAGTATTGTTTTGTTTCACAATCTAACAGGAATCTAACAGGAATTTATCTGTGGCTAAGAACTCAGCCTTCTCTTGTTGGCCCAAAAGCCCAAATAACCAACTGTTCCCTTCCTCAAATCACAGTCCTTGCAAGTCAAGGCTACACATGGCTGCATGCTTGATGTCCTCCTCTCTTCTCTCACATGGCAAGAGCTTCCTCAGTTCTGTGAGGAAAATGTTTACAAAAGGCTAAGAATGAGCTGGGGACAGCTGCCTTCATGATTTTGGCCCTGTAGCCCTTCTTTTGTTGACATCAAAATCCATACTCCACAACTGAACCATACATACAGCAGCAGAACTGTGTACGTTTTTATGGAGTACTTTTATGGAGATTAAGTTTTCATGCAGTGTTTTACCTTGCAAGATCAGTTATGAATATTTGCTCCTTCAGTACGATACACTCTTTATTTCATGAAATGTGTGCCACCCTCGAGTTCCACGTGTATTCTTTTCCCTAAAAACAGCAGCACAATTTAATCTCTCAGTGAGGAATGAGAGCTGCTACAGCAGGGATCAGCCATACTGATACTTCTGCTTTTTGAGTGCACAGCTCCTAGACTGTCAGCAAGACTGACAGCAGCTAATTCAGTCTTCATGTCATCTCAGAAAACTGCTGGGAAGTTGGCTGCTGTGAGCAGCACTGTATGGTTTATAACTGCTGAATTTTCCCCACAGATGCCTGCTACCCATAGGTGAGTCTCCTTTCATTCAAAACACTAATTCAAGGAAAAACTACTTCCAGTAAGGCTGAGCATTTGGGGTCCCTGTACACCTATATAATAGAAGTTTGTGGGATCAAGCTCTGTCTTACCTCAGCTGACCGAGGACAAGAGGTGCCAAGGCAGGCCTGGGCAGCAGCTGGAGCAAGTAGGACCTGAGCAGCTGATGTGCAGCTCCACTGTTTTCCAGCGCAGCCCATGGAGGACAGAAACTGGATGTCAGCAGTGCTGGGCAGACTGCTGGTGAGCGACTCAACTGCGAGCTCCCATCCTCAACTCAGACAACGTTAAGCATGAAATGCTCTGACCATAACATTAAGCAAAAATTTGATGCCATCAACCTCAACGCAAACATTGTTATGAGTTTAAAGAAAAAGAAGCTGTTAAATATTGTGAAAGAAAATATAGATTAAAAGTGCATGAAAAGGAGAAGACAGAATGAATTCCCAAGTAAGGGTCATCCACTCTGAGCTTTCTCCTAGAAAATAATCCAAGGAGCAAAGGCTAAATGTGCCAGACTGCAACATGGGAACCTTGGAGAAGACTGCTGGTTTCCAATCCATTTTCTTTAAATCGGTGCTTTTTTTTCTTTTTCAAATAAGATTTTCAATCCAAACTTCACTCAAAATGGATGAAACTGTTCTACTGTAACCTTCTCACTGTCACGTTTTAGGGTTAAAAAATATGTGGTGCTGCAACCCAAAATTTTCTTCCCCTTGTGCTAAAGAATTCTGCTGTTATGTCTGCGGGCCAGAAACTGAACAGAACTGCTGCTTTAAGTCTGATGGTCTCTCTCCTACAATGACCAATGAAACTGGATACAATACACGTTTTCCTGTCACTCCCTAAAGGGTCAGGAAATTTGCCCAAGTGGTTTGGGGCTGATAAAGCTACAACAGGTTAAAGTCAGGAGGTTCGGTTTTTCCCCTACAAAAGTGTAACCCGTTTCAGTAATAAATCATTGGCGTGCTGAGATTCATTTGCAAGCTGGGGTAGGAAGGAACCTCTAAAGACACACACCGCCCCAATTCACTGATGATATTAGCAAGCAGATCAAGTCAAGATAAAATACGTCAGGAAAAAATAGACAAGTCAGATGAAAGGGAAAGTTTAAAATTACCATTCTTTGACAATGAAAGGGAAAAAATGAGTCACGTTGGCTTCTATCTACCACACCAGTCTCAGGAGTTAATTGGAAATGACTGTTTACTATGTGGCCATTTATTTGGCTCATTAATGAGTACTGACTTAATTTGGAAAGGATTTTTGGTGCCATTTCATAATTAATATTTTTCTAAGGCACTTATAATGTGACGCTTGCTTAATTTTCCTTTTAAACACAACTATTTACATTCTCTTATGAAGTAACTTTTTTGTACTGACTGTAGAAACAGTAGGGTGCGTTTCAGCCAAGAATAACTGAGTAATAAGACACAGGGCAGATTATTTTCCCTCCTGATTTTCTACTTCTCAAATTCCAAGTGGAGCAATGGGACTTGACAGCTCTGAGTTCAAACTTAATTCATCATTAGGAAATTATTCAAAAAGCTAAAATGAGATAACTAATTTAATACACTTTGCTTCAAGGTTTATTCTTTGGCTTGTTTCCCAGATATAAAGCATCTCTGTGCAATTATCTTGCAGATGCTGCTGAAAAGACTTGAAAATGGTTGCTGCTAATGTAACAGGAGATACGTTGGCATTAGCAGGAGGAATTAGAGAAAACTGAAGTTGACTGAAAACTCAACTGATCCCTAAAAGGAACATGGTCAAGATATTACAGCTAAAGAACTCATGGCCATTTGTTGGTTGCTGAAAATCTCTACTAGAATTCCTGTCACACTGTTACACCCATATTGCATAGCAGCAAAAAAAGCAGAGTTTTACATGCATTTCAGAAGGACTCTGGTACAGAGCCTTAGATTAAGCCCTCGCAGCATTTAGGGAAAAGCAGGAGTGTAGGTCCCCTTAGTGATCCTGAACTCAGAGGACTTGGCTTAGGCCTTTATACACTGACTTAAAGCTAATTATGGCTTGGCCGTATGCATTTAAAACAAGAACAGGAGAACAACCAGTTTTCTTTGTTGCCACACAATAGTAGGGACATTTCAGAAAAGCAGCAGTGTGAGATGCTCTCAGATGAGTGCAGTAACTGTGACTGCAAAACAGTAAATGCCTTTCTGGATGGCAGTCTGTTCTAGGACGCACCTGAATCGTTTGGGAGCTGGGAATCTATGTCCCATGGCCTTTAACAATGTCAACCTGACCTGTCCCATCTGCTGCTGCTGATTTTCTGTTCTTAGCAGAAAGGCAAACAACTGCTTTCACATAATGCCACGTAGCAGCTGTATCCTCAGAAGAAATGAAGAGCCGTTTAGGAAGGAAAAACAGTAGGAAATAGGGAGAAAAAAAACAGGACACCAGCTTGTGCTGGGGATGCAAAACTGCAGACAGAGGGAGGACAAAGTGAGCATGAGAGGAACGCGGATTCTGGAAAGGGAGGAGAGTGACCTTGGAGTGGGGGTGAAAATGGAACCAGAAAGGAGTCAAAGATAAGGATGGGGCCACGAATTCGGAGGTATGGGTAAGGAGGAAAAGCAGCGAAGGACTAAAAGATGAAATTTATCTGGGAAATGATTACCAAGAATTTAACTGAGAGTAACTACATTGCATCTGGTTATTCAGGGAGGTTGCAAGACCACTGCTCTTGGAAATGTTTGAAATTTTACTGTATGTGCCCCTGGGCAAGCCTGTCCAACACTGTGCTGAGCAGGGAGTCTGCATGGGCTCCCTTCCAGCCTGATCCATCCTCCAGCAGGTCCAAGCAGAGCACTGGCAGGAGGTTGTAGCAAGGAAAGGAGAAAGGAGTCAGCACGACGAGGGGAGCAACCTCAGTGCAGGAACTTCTCTGTCCGTCTCATGCAGCATAAGTAACAAGGTGGGAATTACGTCATGACTTGTTAAGGCTATTTTTTTTTTTTTTTTTAATACGGTTCCTGTTGCTTCTAAATAACTGTTAAGTACTTGCTACCATGCATATGCTGCAAGGTAATTCATAATGTGATTTGCTCCAATGAAATAAACAGTCTGGAGAAAGGATCGTGCACAAAGTTGTGCAACACAGCTGGTGAATACTGACGGACAGAAGAGGAGAAAGAGCAGAGTATGGGCCTGGCCAGTGAAATACTTGCAGGACGTGAATTTTTTTCTTAGCTCTACCATAAACTTCACTTTTGGGCCAGGGCAAGCCATTTAAGAACCTGTAATCTAGCTATGAAGTAGATGAGTACATTTGTTTCCCTTTTCTGTTCTGAACTTCAGGCAAGGACTGTTAGTCCATTATGTACTCATCCAGTGTCTGGTACAACAGACTCCTAATCTTAACTGGAAACCCTGAACACTACCAGGATAAAAGAGTAATAATAAATAGAAGGGAGAACCCAAATGACAAGTAGTGTTGAAACAGCAGCCTGAGAAGAGAGATGGTTTGTGCAATTTAATACAAAAAACACCCTAACAATACCAAAAAACTGCTTGGTACATGCACAAATCACAAGATGGTGATGGGGAAACAATCAAGGCAGACTCTAACCTAAAGCCCTCAACAGTCACTGCTGGACAGAATAAAAACAGTATTGATCATTTTTACAAAGGTCAGTGGACTAGAAAATACAACAACTACAGCAAGGAAACCACAGGAAACAAAGACACGTGACTGGAGATGTCCAATTTGAATTTGATTCCTTTTCCACACAAGGTGACCATCAAGGCAATAAAAGTTTCTGTGCAATTCGTAAAAGATGCTTCATCTAATACATATATTTTTTTTCAGCTGCATGTAGTTGAAACCCCTCTACTGCTCAACCCATATCTACAGGAAAGATGCAAGTCTCACCCTGCTCTTGGTCAGTTTTCTAATACTGCTTCAACTCTTACACAAATCCCTTGAAGGACCACAAATAGCAAAGGCTTAATTTAAAAGATCCAATATTGCTTTTTTAAGGACTGATCTAAAACTGCAATTCTCACGGAATTTGAACAGTTCAGCACCCAAATTCTCTGCCCTCACAACAGCCTGTGCTTGAGCCCTCTGTAATGTGCCCTGCATATGCAGAGGCTTAGGTCTCCCTGTCCCAGGACGGCGTGTCCTCCGCTTCCATTCATATAGAACTGTACTTGACATCTAGCAGGTCTGTCCTTTTTCTTTTTAAATCATAGAAGCTACACATCTGGGTCAGAATGTTCTTATGTAAGAAGAAGCCTGCTGCCAAATAACTGTTCATTTCAGAAATTGTGTAGTAAAATAAAGCCAGTATTCTACATTTACGAAGGATTGCTTTCCCTACGAACATGTTACAATGCAGACCAGTCATGTCAAATATAGTTCAATTTGAAGCTCACCATAAGTTTTAAAAGTTACTAAAGTAATTCACAAATTATTCTAAGAAAAATAAATTATATCTTCTATAAAATAATCCATGGGAGACTCTAGTAAAGAACAAATTCCTTACTTTCAAGACAGCTTTAAAAAGTGCAACACAGATTGCACGCTGTGTTGTCAAGGCAGTTCCCCTCATTCATCAGAAAGGTTCAGTCAGATCCACAAAGCTGGCTCTGAGATGTTTGAAGAGATTAAATAAGTCTCGAGTTTTGCAGGAACTGGATGAGCACTTGATAGACAAATTTGTACTGGGCTATGGTCTGGATCATAAACATTCTCTGCTCCCGCAGGTGTCTCAGCATCACAGGGACATCCACTTTCTGTAAAGTCAAGGAAAAAAGTCATAAAGATGTAGGTTTGTTGCATCAAACAGTCATTGCATCAAGTTTCAGTTATAATGTAATGAATTTTAACCAATCATAGTGAACTATTACAATTTTTTGTCACCGATTTTTGAATAATTTAAGGATTAAATTATTAGCGCACAAAAGGTTACTGTGCACTTGGTGCTTTCCCAGCTACAGCTTATGTGAAGTTCTGGACCAATCTAAACTTGCAGATGACCACATACTCTCATCCTCCAATGGTGTACCACTTATTACCTCTCATGAACTGAACATAAAGAGTTTCTTCTCTTTGAAAGTTTCTAATTCAATATAGCTATTTTCAACTCAGTAAAACGTACTGTGTTACCTCAGGCTAAGACCTAAATATATCAGTAAGGTCTAACGCAAAATTGGAACAGCTAACATTGTATAGTCCAGTTGAACTCCACCACTCAGTGCCTACTGCTCTGATCCATGCTCAAGTACATTCACTGAGGGAGGATCTGAGTTTTCAAATGAAAGCAGGTATGTGATTTGAAGAGTAAAAGTTCCTCAGACAAAACTGAAGTGCAGGCAAATATGCTGATCTTTCCACTACAAGAAGGAAAATGACTGTTACCAAAAGATCCAAGAACCCTGACAGCTCACCTCCCACAGCTAAGTCTGTGCTACTGCGTAACACTCTGTAAGACATAGTCCATAAAGTGAAACAGTTGGCCCTGAAGACCCTAAATCCACCATATTTATCTTGCAGACTTCAGGCCAGTGTTTGTTGCCATGTACTCAATGTCCATTAGCAGCTGTAAAACATTAGATGCCTTCCAAAAAGGCATCTTCCAGCTTTGTTTCATCCAAATGAAATTCATTTGTGTGCCCTGAAAATGCTCTGCAACAGGAACTAAAGTACAGTAAGTGGGGACAGATTGGAAGATCCACTGTAAGAGTACACCTCTAATCCTAATGAGCACATGGATGCACATGCATTCTGTAATGGTCTGATTCAGAAAACGAATGACCTGTGTGAAGCAGAGATTTTTCTGAAGTAAAACATGATTTGCTGGAAAATTCACTCGGCATTACCATCATATCTCCAGAATTTAGAGAGAAAAAGAGCTATGATGTTACCATGTTTCAGCTATTAAAACAAGTACACAAGGAACCATTTGAAAGTCACTGAGCCATGAAACTGAGCCATGAAACTGAGCCTGAGGCTCAAATTCAAAGAAAGTCTACGTAGCACATCCCAGGATGAGGGATTTTCTGTTTTCTATTGCAGCAGTAAACATAAACACAAGGATACATGCTCCTGCTGAGTGAAGTTCTTAAGTACTGCAAGATACGAAACCGTATCAGGCAACACAAGTGCTCTTTGTAACATTAGTTGCCATTCCCAAAATACACCAAAGAACGTGGCAAATTTTTTGGCTGCAATGAGAAATATTTCAATTACAATGCCTGAGCAAAAGAGCAGAGACAAATTAAGATTTCTGCTAGTCAGTGGAGGCCCAACTGAGCATGCGCACACAGCGGAAATTTTCTGGAAAGTTTAAAATAATAATCACACTACATATCCATTTCTGTCTGCTTGCATAAAGCTCCGAGTCTCCATTCTGTGTAAACAAGCTCCAACCCATTGCTTTCTGAAAACAAGGCTAGCTGTTCTGCCACATCCCCAAACAAGCTGTTACAGGACAATTCTAGAGAGTCAACAAGCGTAAAGATCTGTACACTGGGATGAGCAATGTTATATTATCTTTGGTAGGTAATAAGGAAAACATAAGCTCTTTTCAGTTAACTTGGCTAACTTGGGGAAAGTCTTCCTGTGGAACTGACTGCTTACAAAAGCCATTTGGTCCTTGCTGAGCAAAGTCACGCGGAACTCAATCGCCCCTGAATCACTACAACAAAATGCGGGCCAGCTTCAACCTGCACAGCCACGTTTGTCTTCGTGGTTTGGTGCATGACAGTTCACTCATTTGTACTTGGCCTCAGTGACTCTGTGCATCTCTGTGCATCACACAATACTTTCATTTATTCTCAGGAAAGAAAAGCCCATCCTACCTATTTGACTTCACTCTCTGTAGTCAACCTATGTTTTTTACTCCAGGTAAGCAGAACCTTCAGTACACCTTCAACAAAAGTCACGTAGTGCTTTGCTAAGGTGTCTTTTGCAAAAAGAAGAAAAAAAAAAAAAACATGACTCAATTTCTGACTCTCAAACTAAAGATCTCCCCTATGAAGATGCACTGAACCTATGATCATGAGTTCATGTTCCAGCCACTACAGCAGTAAGGACTTAATGATGTGACTTAGCACATTTCTTACTGTATGGCAGTCTACTGAAAATATATCCCTGCAATGGGATACAGAGCTTTAGACTCAAGTAGCAAGTGCCTGCAGGCTGCAGTGAGTGAAGCTGTACAGCAGCCGATTCAAAATGATTCTCAACTAAAGCTGAAAACTCAAAAGCAGAATTCCCAGCGTTGCTGCAGACTTCCCAGGATGGTCTTTGTGAGCGTTTTCAACCCCTTTCTTCCATGTTAACATCAGTACATCTACTTACAATGACACTTCTGAAGAAATTAACCAATTCCTAAGAATTAAAGCTTTTTAAGTGACAACCCATTTTATTTCAGAAAGAAACACAAGCAATCCTAATTCAAAATAAACAACTGTGATCCCTGCATGAAATGAAACCTCTTTGTACAGAATGCAGTATCTGTCACAAGCTGAAAAAAGCTCTGCTTAACTAATAAATACATTTTTAATCTTCTTTTTTTAATTAGGTTTTAACAGACAAAAAATGTTAACTTACTACAATCTAGAGCAACAAAAGCCTTAAGGAAATTGTATTTAATATTAATGATTTCCACTGTTAATCAAGATGCATGCTTTAAGAGACATCAGAGAAATCCTTTTTACTGAGCATTACCACCTGCTCCTACTGAAGTTGATGGGAATTCTTTTCAATGTCAAGGCTCATCCACATGCTTAGAAGTCAAAGTGTCTCCTTTATCTTCACTTGCTATTCAGCCACTCATGACAAAAATAAGCCCATGATCCCTAGGTGATCTTGTAACTACAGAATAACGAACTGCTGGAGGGCAAAAGAGGATAGAGAAGAACACAACTTCTTGCATCACTTTTTTAAAAATAGTGAAGAGGAAAGTGCAACTTTTCAAAACTAGTGATGAAGCACCAACTTGTCTCCTCTAGGACTCACATTGAATGAGCCAGGAAACTGCACTTTACCTAGCACCACGCACAGAAAGGTTCAAACCTGTAACTGTATGAGCACAAAGAGTGGGTGAGCATTTCAGGCACATTACTGGAGGAGAGAGGGGGGGGCAGCTGATGTGTGCCAATGTGTCACTCTTACCATATTCTCATGTCTATGAGAGGTTTTGTCTTTGAGCAGTTCCTTTGGCAATAGAAATCCCCCGTTTTGCATATGTTGAAATTGTGTGGCACGTTGTTATTCAAGATGTGATGTTTTTTCTGGACATGTCTCCATCAACATAGTACAGGTGAAAAGCAAGTACCTGCACATGGCCCTGGGGCTCTTATCATTGCTCCAGATTACATTACTAGTTTTGTAATATTAGCTGCTATTCTTAAACATCCATTCCCCAACATGCACACAGCTTTCCTTACGAGACAGCCAAGTTTAGTTCCAGATGAAATTAGAGGAAATACAAGAGATGGAAAAGTCTGAATTGTGAGTTTCCACAGCAGTAAATGTTACCTAGAAGCTCATGGAAATTGACATTATTCTTTAGACTCCCTGTCACTGTGCCCTTGTGAACATGCTGTCTCTAAACTGTTAATTAAATAGAGGTACAAATTCTTAAAAGACAGAAAAAAACCCCTTAATTTTGAATGTGTTAAAATAATGTTCATGAAAACACATAAGATCAACCCAAAAACAAACTACAGTAAGTAGTTTCTGCTCTGGGAAATCTCTTCCTATCATGTTTAATACCCTTATTTCGCAAAGGTAATAGAACAGAAGCATTTTGCTGCCTTTTAGTTTTAACCTCAGAAATGTAGCTGGTTAGTGAAGGAATGAGCTCAGGGTTTGCCCTGAGATAAAAGCTTACTTACTTCATTATGCTCCAAGCACCCAATCATCAGCTCTGTTAGGATAACCACTCCAGTCCTTCCTACCCCTGCACTGCAGTGAACCACGATAGGAGGGTTGCAGTTGTTGCTGCTGTCCAGCACGCTGTTGGTGTGGCGACGCACTGACTGTATCTCCTCTAAGTAAGCTGCAGTGTAAAAGACAAAGTTGTAAACATCTATATGTCTAAAAGTTGAAATTAAAAAAAAAAAAGTCATTCTTTGTCAAAAAGAATTTATATTTTTTACAACATACATTTTTTGGCCAGTATGTACTGAACAATCCCAAATCCAGCAAGTGCCAGCTGGTTGTCAGGTATTACATAGGAATCTGCTCCTTTAAATTAAATTGTGCCTTTTAAAAATTAAATTCCATTTTCCCCTCTGCAAACCTCCAGGTCCCTTAAGCATATGATTCTAGATATTACTTACAGCAATTTCTGCTATTAACAAGCTAGGATCAAAACCCTTGAAACTACTCCCTGTCAAAGCAAGTATCTGATGGGATGTGGGCAACCATCTGCCCTTTTAGCCACCCTCCCTTCTTAGCAAGGCTGAGTCTTACCCACCTCTCTGCATAGGGGTTGTTTCTCAACAGTTAGCTCTTCTAAGAGCTGTCTTTTTTCTCCCAGTCATTTCTTGAAAGTACACAAATCAAGAACAGTTGGTGCAGCTGTCCTAGCATTGTTAAAAGCAATCTACTGTCAAGCTACACCATCTTAATATATTGGAAGCTCACTTGGCTGGATGAACACTCTATACACTATAACTCAAGATCTTACACACTTGGCATCACAGCTTTGCAGCCCAAGCTGTCCTTTCAATACAGACAGACAGGCTGTGGCTGGAGGCTTACCAGAATCAGAAAAGCTGCATTTTAAAGCACAACATGAAATGGGACTGTATGTAGTGGCAAACAATGAAACACAGGAAACAGGAACAATCCGTTTCCAATTACTGCCATGCCTAACCACAGCTACAGGGGCTGGCAGGAGGAGCACAGTACAAAACAAACCAGGAATTGGGCAGTGAGAGCAAACTCAGTATGTTTGCCTTCAAGCCAGAGCCCATGACTCTCCTTTGTCAAAGCCAGAATGGCTTTTCTGTGATTCTTCCCTGGTGACAGAACTGGGAAAATAACCTACACCATGCAAAGGAGAGAAGATCACTAAAGTACCATAGCTGTGTGAAGACCAAAGTAGAACTCATGAGCCTTGCTGACAAAGGGTTCAGCTTCAACAGGGCCATGCTGCAGAGGCTGCAGAGCTAGTACACTGTATATATACTTCTTGAGTGAGAACTTAAAAAGCTCTGCATCACATTCCATTGTAGTGCCAGAGAAGTGATTTTAGTTACATTATGGTTGAATTCCTATTACTTACTGTAATTGTGTTTACTACTTGGTAAGAAGTACAAAATCTTATAAACTCATTACAGATGAACACAGTGGCTACATTTGTCAGAAATGCATGAGCTCAGACTGTATTTAATTGTGAATACTCTTTGCATTGTGTGAGTACATGTGGTTAGAAGAGTGGCAGTGTGTTCAGACTAACTGCATTTGGAATAGAGCTTTTTGCTCTTCTGAAGCAAGTCCAACACCTCTGGACTACCAAATACTGGCTGTCAGCAGTCAGAGCCTCCTACAGAACTGGAGGAATTGTGCTGTCTTTCACTAACATCTGAGCCTCTCTCACCCAGACTTTTCTAATCACATTTCCGTGCAGCATAATGTCTCATACACTCATTAGAGCTAGGCAGTGGCAGTAATTTACGCTGACAGATCAGCCAGCTGGGACGTCCTTTTATTTGAAATTATCCATCCTTAGCACTACTGTTGCCTCTGATTTTTCCTCCTGTTACATTCTTCCAGAATGAGACCCTCACCATAGGTCCTACCTCTTGAATCCTACTTCTTTCATCAAATCACAGAAAAGTCTAACCTAGTTGAGGCATCTCTATACTGCAGTAGTAAACATTTAAAGTCAATTACAGCTCTGACCAGGGGCAGTGAACTGAATCCAGTGTGAATAACCTTTTGTTTGATATCTTTTATCATGCAAGTTCAAGAATGCTTACATAAAAAGCCTTGAACTTCATCTGGACATCCATGGTCTGGCCAATCAGTATACTGCAAATGCCACACTGTCTTCTCATCTCCAGAAAGCAGATGCTTGACCTTCAGACCAGTGGTTGCATAGCAGCCGGAGTCTGTGCGGAACTTGGTTGTCACCTTGAACTTCCCATAAGTGGCTGAGCTGTGCTTAGAGCCCAGTTTAGGCCAATAACGATGACTCTTACTTCTTCCTCCCTCCTTAATATCACACAGACACACACACACACACACACACAAAGAAGAACAACAGTAGTTAGTTGCTGCAAACAGAGAGAATAGAACTCCGCAGATAAGCTAAGTTTTCATATTCAGAACAACCAGAATAGCAGGGAGCACCCCATAAATAAAGTATCCATTAAAATTCTCAGTCATGTATCATATCTGAATGTAAAAGAACAGGAATCAGAAAATGTTTACATAGGTAGAGCAGACACGTTAGAAATGTTTGAAGAACAAACTTGCCTTGGAGCAAAAGCCAGCTATTGTCTACAACATCTCAGGAAATTTTCTCCTCCTAGGCAAGTCTTTCCTTTCAATAGAAAGGGATTCTCTACAGCAACTTCTAAGTATCTGTTTTCATCAGCCTTGGGAACTGGACAGTGACTTGATGTGGTATGGCACTCCCTCTGTTTGTTAAAAGCAATCAGGCATAAAGTTGAATGCAGTGTTAGTTAGCAAAATGTGCCAGTTTTTATAACGTAGCACATAGTTCTTGGATTACAATAGAAATAACTGTTTTGCTTGGCATAAGAATAAAAGGATTTTTTATTTTTTTTACGTGGACACTTATACAGAAACAACAGCTTCTAGTGTCTTTTCAGCTGATAAGAGTGGTGGTATGCAGAACTGGCCTTGGACAGGGTGGAAGCCTGTGTCGTTTTAACCAGCAGCAGTTTAGCACTCTCACATTCCAATGGAAACATCTTTGTTTTGTTTGGCCAGACTGGAGTGAAGCAGGGAGAAACGGGTGTTCTGCTAGCTTCACTTTAGTACTTGCCAAAACAAATGTTAGAAAGTTACAAAATACAGTACTAGAGCAGTCCAGGCGTATGTTCAAAGAGAGTAAGAGGAAAAAGGACTGTTGATGGAAAAACAGGTTAATGGAATGGGAAGCCATGATAATGGGAGACTGACTTACATCAGAAAGATCCATGTTCTGTGATTTTACATACCTCTTCAGCTGTGACCATGGCTATAACATTCACCCCCTGTTCCCATACCATCTGCCAGAAGTCATGGCACGTGTGTGGCAGAGGTCCTTGGGTAGCAATGTAGTGCCACTCCTCTCCGCCTACGGTAACCTGGGATGAAGAAAAAAGAAAGAAAGCAAAAAAAAGTCAGTGCCCAAGTTCTCAGCAGCACTTGTGCCAGAACTGCCCTTTAAACAAAAGAGACCATAACGAAACCTTTGCTTTTTTCTTCCTCTACTGTTTTTCAGAATTCTGAACATGAACCATCCTTTTGATAAGAGCAAATCCGACAAAACACAATCTTTTGTGTTTCCACGTCCTTTCTTGATGCTCATAGACATGAAGCTTTCAGCAAAATGTCAACCATTCTTCTTGCCATTACATCTGGATTATTCAGACGCAAGTATTTTGAGGCCCTGTTTCAGAGATGGCTTAAATACAAATAAGCAGCTGACTGACTTCCCTGGGCTTTGTGACAAACCCATGATGAATAAGAACTGAGCACCAGGAAGTATCTGCATACGTTTAAAAGACATTACACTGCTGGAAACGAACTCACAGTAGTATAGAAAACCTGAATGGAAATAATAGTTTGCACTAGGGCAGCTAAGGGCCTCCACTGTTCAGGGTCTCCCTCAACTATTTTCCACTCAAGCAAAAAATAGTTTCTTAAACAGACTCTTGCTACACTGATCCCTGTTGAAGATATGGCCAAAAACGCTGCAGTTATGCCCACACACACAACAAAACAGTCAGACAGGTCCAGCTAGAGGTGAAATCAAGACAGGCTTCATTTCATGTTTCCATTCCTCACTTACCTCAAGTTTTTCCAGTTTAGAAACTGCCATCTACTTATATAGTAAATCCAGCTGGAGTCATGTAAGTCTATTTCCCCAATACATAACTGGATTAAAATCTTATGGAAATATTTATATGCATGACAGCATGCAATGAAATCATTTTTGGAGCACATAAATCACTTCTATGTGTAAAATATATATATGACTGATTATTTGCTATATACACATCAGAAAAACTTACAGAAACTGTTTTTTTAACCAAAGGTGAAAATAACCAAACCACTCTGACACCTACTAGATATCAAAAGTAAAAGGAACAGTTAAAAAAAAAAAAAAGAAAAAAAAAGCAGTAAAAAAAATTAAAGAACTCAAAACAGATGAACTAATTAGTTTGAAAAGCTAAAACATTTTTCCTTTGCAGACTAAGAACTTCTAATTGTATGTCAGTCCAGAGCCACTTCTCACAACGAAGTTGTAAGTCCTGAGAAGATTTATAACAAAAGTGTTGACATATCCATAGATATCAAGGTGCAGGTGGACAGTGCCACCAGCAGAGAGAGGGAGAGCTCAATCATTCTGACAGGTTGAAGCATATACTACATTTGCAGTACAAATGTTTGAACAGCTTTTCAGAAAGAGAATCAAAATTGTTATTCAAATAGCTGTTCTTGAAGCTGAGTTCCTCGGGTGTTTGCACCTATAGCTAGCACAGTGTTTGTACGGTAACAAAACTCTCCCTGCACTGGAAACAGTTTTCAATCCTGTACACCTAGTTCTTCCATTTCATACTCTGCATCACTCTCCCCTCTGGGACGGAGGGTTAAACACTGCAAGCCCAATGCAAGTAAGCTCAAGCTCTTGCACAAGATGTAAATAAAATCACTACAGCATCAATGTACACCTTGCACTGCCATATTGGTTCACAGTCACACGTGGTATAGTATTACTGAGCTTTTCCAGTTAATGCTGGTCTGACTCAAACAGTCAGATGAAGTGGTCTTAAGAACTTAATCCATTAATTTAATTATGATATGCATCTCAGGTGTAGGTGAGTTCTTTGAGTCTTCACTGCAAAGGTCAGTGGTAAATAAGTAGAGAAATACTGAAAAACTGTACAGCTCGCAGGTCGTGCGATGTGAGCTGGAATCCTGCAGGCATGGATCTTATCAGGATGATATAGGAGTTTGTCTGCTGACTTCTGGTCCAAATATCCAGCCTCCTGGCACACGATATGAAAGACCCATAAATAGTCTGAAGGGAATGTGATGCCTGGAATGTTTACTGCATTCTAATGCCCTGACTGCAGGATATTAAAAATTGAACATTGGGCTGCAAACACACTGTGACACTGAGGTAAATTTTGCAGATGCAATTTCACCTTCTTAGCAAAAGAACATCTGCTTGGCTTCAGTAAGCGCCACTTGGAGTGCAAGAGAAAAATACTGGCAAGGACTGCTGTCATGTGCTGAACTATTTGTGCGTGTTCCTGGTTGCTCTGTGAATGTGAAATGAGTACACATCCAACACTGACACTCAAGGTGAAATGTGGACTCAGAACTGGCCAAGAAAAATTCTTTTCAGGCTAGTACAGGCTTGTGGGAATAATTTATGTTAGGAATCTCAGGATTTTATCCTCCCACAAAGTAGATGAAACATTACGGGCTCTAAAATCCATCATCGTACCAATCCCTGATTATGCAAAAACTCAGTATCTGCTACCTACCAGGCTATGGTAGAGAAATGATAGCCAGCCAGGATTCTGGTTCAGAAACTGTTTTGATTCAATAGGATTTAGTACTGTAAACTACAACCAAAGAGGCCAGCTATTCTCTTTAAATTTTAAGAGGCTTTTACTCCAGTAAAATATAATGTTTTGTTTATTATTAATTTCTTTTTAATTTGGGTTCTGACAAAGATAAAAAACAGAGAGCCCTCTCTGACAACAAGAGTATATATCAGCTGAAGGAAAGGTGTTAATTCTCCCAGGATAGAGCAAAAACCAGCAAATTGTTACTGGAAACTTAAAGAAAAGCAAGCATCTGCAGCCACCGCAAGATAGTTAAAATTGTTAAAATTGGCCATGTTCATAGAGTAACAGAGTCATCTCATATCTCAAGTTATTTCTACATTCAATTAACTAGAAGAAATCTGGCTGTCTTGATAAAACCTTATCAAGAAGTCTAATGCAGTACCCAATCAGGAATACAGAGATTTCACTACCATACACCAAATATTGCAATATTTATGTGCACATCCTGAAATATTTACGCAAACATCCATACACCTATTACTCATAACAGCACATGTTTTCTTTGGACACTGTAAATATTAGGGCAGATTTAACTCATGTTCATGAGGTTTACGGAATGCAGCATCTCTTTCTACATGAGCCATCAGAGACCAAGTTGGCAGAGACACACGTAAAAAAAAGTAAGAATTCTTCTCTAAAATGAATTCCAAGTCTCTAGAGAATAAATCAACTCATGCATGTTAAATGACATGGGACTTTACAGGTGCCTACGCTGATGTAAGTGTACAATGATGCACCCTGTTTCAAGTTACCTTTTTTAAGTTCCCAAATTACGGAAAATACTACTGTACACCCAGAAATGCAAACAGAATTCTAACATACCTTCATTTGCAATACAAAGCCCAAGAAAGCTTTTACCTTTATATGTGAAGCATTGATATAGCCTGTGTTATTTTCTTTGGTCGGCACCAGCTCCACTCGGTTCTCCTCATAAGGAACAACTTCCCTGATGCGGTTGCGCTCAGTGTTTTCAGGCAAGACAGCAGTGGTGAAGATCCCATCTGCCTTCTTCTTTGGAATCTGCTCATATTCTGTAAACACCATCCCCTCTTCCAACTTCCTCTTCAAGATTTTGCACTTGGATTTAACAGAAAGTAACACCAATTGATTAGCTCTTCTTGACAGAATGCCCCATCCATCAGTTCTTTGGATTTCAACATATAACCATAATGTTCTCTCTCTCTCTCTCTCCTCTTTTTGGTCACAGTTATCTGAGAAAACACGACTTTCTCTATTTCTACCGAATGAAACAAATAAATTTTACATTTGCTATTTTTAAGATGCATACCATACAAAGGAAAAGCACAATACGGATTCAGTATGAATTTGTATGTAATTTTTCCACAATAGGTATTTGTAAAAATATTTAAAATTTATCTTTTATGAAGAAGATCACACCAAAAGACATGAAGGAATAAGCCAGCTTCAAAATACTGTGCAACTTGCATGTATGCAGTTTCTGTGATTGAACAAAACCTCACATACATGCAAACCAAGGCTGAGTTCTGTCATATGCATAACAGACAAGATAAGGCTGGAAAATTCTGCTCAAAAAGCCAGAAATATTCGTAGCAAATATCTTTCAAATCTTAACAGCAGAAACTGGTTTTAATTTCTGAAGTTCCAGATACGTGTGCATACCCAGATTGCAAACATTAGGAGACAGACAACTTTTTTTCTTCAATTCACCTAGAGACATTATCTGAACTCGTTAGTTGTATCAGAACATGAAACATTCCAAGGATGGTATTTTTAGGTACTCCCTGATCAAACAAAAAATGTGCAAGATTGAATTTACAGCTTGATCTTATGTGATGCTGACAGACGTGAAATGGTGAACAGCCCCAACTCTCACTGACTTCTATGAACACTGAAGAGATTTAAAACACTTAGCATCAGAAGATGTGCAAGTGTTAATTGCAGACCTTTGACATTAATGACTCTGAAAATGGTTATGAGAAATTGTTTCATATGCTAAATCAAATGTTAATATTTTAGAAACTTCGTACTGGGAACAAAGGAAATGAACAACATTTCATAAGCCTCCATCTTACCCTCTCATCCATTGGCACCTTGGCTACTTCATCCTGGCTGTCCTCCGGCACTGGAACCCTAGCAACCGAAAGTCCATTCAGTGCTGCCAACATCAAGGGCCTCTTCTGGGCCTCCAGGCCTGCCATCTTCTGCTTTTCTAGATTCTTTTGGCAAGAAAAGGCACGTTTTCATCTCTGTGTGATTATTTATAATGCCAGTAAAATGCTGGAATGTTTTTTTAATCTCCAAAATCTGCAACTTTCTGGCCAAGGAATGCAGATGATCACCATTAGCATCGTAAATTCAAATACAACCTCTATTCTTCCTGTTATTCCTCAAAGGCCTGCTCCTACACGAGCACAGAATTTTAATTTCAAAGGAGCAATCCCAGCTTATAATACAGTTTACGTGCCATCAGAAGACATACAAATACAATCTCGAGCATTTTTCTGCAAATACTGCTCTGAACGTAGGACACAAAACACATTACCCTGTACATTTAAAGTAGCTCTACTGCAGCCAAGACACCTGGGGCATCTTTTAAAAAGCAATAATTTCAATCTATTCCAACATAGCAATGTATTACAGAGAAGAAAAACTATCTTGTGTTAATACTTAAAATGAAGTCTTTTGATGCACTCGGTTATCACGGTGATTCAAGTAGTACCCATGATGTGCGTTGCATTAAAAACTGAGGTAGGGAGTGGTACTGTTTCTCACATTCCTGCTTTGTAATATGCTGCAATATGGCAAACCCGAGTACAGATTTTCAGCTCACCCCGCTGCCTTCCTAATGCCTCCGGGAGACGGAGAAAAGAGACAGAATCTCCAGAATGAGCAAAATTATGAATATTTTACTCTGTTCCTTTCATAGTTCTTTCTCTCAGATTTGGAGGAAGAGATGAGCACTAGGGAAGCCTGGTTCTCAGCATGCATACAAAAGCTGTGGTCACCACATGGGCCAAATTCAGCTCCTGGAAATACAATACTGAACCTGAAGACCCTCAGACACAGCATGTTTTTTCAAAAGCTTGAGAGCTTTTTCACCACCAGTGCTTTCCTCCAGAACACTGAGTAAAAAGAAACAAAAAGGCAAAACAAAAATCCAAAAACTCTTTGTTCCGTTTCTTATTAGACTTTCACGAAGGAGGAAAATGCAAGACTTTTTCCTTTCTTTTTTTCTTTTTATGACTCTTTACAAGCTAAAGCATGTGTTTGAAAGATTAAGGTTTTCAAACCATCACTGTGTATGTATGTGTAGTATGGGGTTCCTACAATAAGGGAACATTTGCATGCCTTAAGACACCTGAACTAAGCTGAAACCACCTTAAAAGTCTAATGCTAAGGCAACTAATTTACTTAAAAAAAATAATAATTAACAACTAAAACATATTTTAACCAAAGGCTGATCTGCATCTTTATTCAAAGGAGCACTTAAGCACCTCTAACCTCTCAGCTCACCTTCATTCACATTTTTGATTCCTTTTGATTTCTGCAGCCCAGCAGGTTTTTTTTGTTTTCTTCCCCAGAAGTTCAGAAGAGCCTGTACACTTCTTGTTCACCACATCTGCCATATGCACTCATGAAATATTATGTTTTATATTTGGGTATTTATTTTATTTTTGAAGGTTAAGATGCTGTATGGAGTAAACTCAGTTTCCATGATACAGCGTAGAGGCCCAAGTTTAACTGCTAACTATTCCATAAGTGTAAGAATCACTAATGAATGAGAAGCACTAAAAACAATGTTTCTAAATTTCTTTGAATATACAGTAGTATGTAAATGTAAGCATATTCCAAACTCTTTCCTTCTATGACCCACTTGGATACTTCATTAATTTCCTTCAGAAACTGCTTAGGAGCCAAATTCCAAAACAAAAAACAAACACCCTATTTTCTGTGACTGCAGTTGTACTTCCCAGAGCATAACTTCAAGCCACAAGTCACACAAGTAGCTTCAAAATACAAGTCACTGAAATGCAAGCACACCTCATTTCTCCCATTGCCTCCAGTGGCACTGAAGTCTTTAAATACACAGTTTTTATTCTAAATTCATCCATAGTTTATGCCATAGGTTTGTACAATATTGTCATACCTGAGTACAATAAAAAAAATAAAAATCCAGATCCATGTAATCGTAGCTGACCCACTGGGTCAGCTTTAAGCAAATCAATGTTTTCCCACCTGTGTGTTCCCCACAGTTCACATGCCAAAAGGTCAGTAAACGGACCTACGATTACCAATTCTCAAGATGCCCCCGCAACAAAGGAAGACACTTACCCTTATCATGATTTCTCTCTCTATAATGCTGTCCTCTATAGAGAACATTTCAGACACAGGTCTTTCCTTGACAGGTTCTTTCTTCACCCTCTCCTTTACACTTGTCAGGTCAGGCTCTGAGATAGAGGGCCCGAGCGAGGACCCATTTATTGCCACTTGATCTGTCCGAGACACACTGATGGCCTTGGAAGGCCCTGGCCTCATGGCCTTGGCCCTGGCTGCGGCCACGGAAGCACTAATATGGTCCTGCCTCAAGGCTCCGTTGCTGACGCTTTTACGAGGCCCGGGATATTCTGGAGGAGGTTTATTTGGTATTCTAGCCAAGGCAGCTTGCAACTGAGCACTGTACTTCATGTTCTCATGGAGGGCTCTTATCTGTGACACAGACTTTGCGGTTTCTTCTTCCTCTTCACTTTCGCTGCTGTGTATCAGCATTGTGGCATCAGAGAAGGTCTTTTTGTGATGGTAATGAAGAACCTGTTGAACTTCATGCCCCATCTGAACCGACTCTTCCGGCTGCACCTGCTCCCGCAAGGTGTTCCTGCGCGGCAGAGGAGCGTTTAAAGTTTTTAACGCCATGGCTTCTATACCACGTACCATATTGCTGATGACTTCCAAGCTGTGGCGCTTGTTCACAGCCGCATGGTGCTTCACTGCCAGGAGGGGTTCGCTGACCTCCTGCAGCGACTGGCGGACGACCGGCGAGCTGTCCTCTTGGAACGTCTTTACCGAGAGCTGCACTTTACGTGTGACCAGGTCAGGGCTGCTCCCGCTGACATACTTGTGCCGGTGGCTTGCAAGGTCAGGTGTGCTGGTGGCAGGACGTGGGCGCGGGTACGGAGGCGGGGGTCTGAAGAGATAGTTCTTTAACATATGAGCAGTATTGTAATTCTGGCTGCTCTGCAGCTGCATGTTAGCCAGTTCCGGTGTGCTGACCGTGTGTGATATGGCACTGGCCGCTGTCTTATTCTGCACAGCACTGTTAGGGTTCATTTGGTCAGAGGGCGTAACAGGCTTGTTGTAGCTACCACCCTGAGGCCCGTAAGTGACCGTATAAGGATGCCTCTCTCGAATCTCAGGTTGACTGTAAACTAGGTCTTCTGGCTGGTTGTAAGCATGCGTGTTTCCAATATTGAGATTCCTCAAAGACTGACTTTGGCTATCCATCTGGATCACTCCTCTCTTCATTTGCCTCATGACAGTTTCATAATCTGGAGTCGGTCGGTACGACGGGACTATGATTGCACTATGTCTGTGGCTGGGGATATAGTCTGCTCTCATGATGTCACTTCCAGGGATGCTCAGGTTTGAGGACATTGGAGATGCCTGAATGAAGTTCTGTGAGCGATTCAGGGAGTTCATGCTGTGTGCGCTGCATACGCTCCCATTGGGTCCATTACCATTCAAGTAACTGAAGTCCACTGGACACCTGTCCAAGCTGGTCTGAGACCTACAGTAGAAGGTTTCTTCATTTCCATGAAAAATGCTGTCTGTGTAGAGCAGAGATAAAACATTCAAAATTTAACATACAAGGACTTGTTATCAAAGCTGCAAATGCAGTCTGCACCAATGATTAGAGAGACAGCTTAGTGTACAGCTGCAGGGAACATTTGGTCTTGGGAGCATCCTTGAGTCATAGAACTAAGACGAAATGACTTCCATAAATACTCCCAACAGTTAGCAAAATACTGTAGCTCAGATCCTTGTGGGAGGCATGAAAAGGGAAAAAAGGAAATGTTTTTGCCTGGCAAGGAAGAACAGCATCTCTCTTACCACCTTGGAAGGATTCACTGATGCTACTTTTTTTTAGGAATTTGGTGCTGCTAACCTATGCTAATCCTGAAAATGTTATGTTTTTGTTGTTGTTGATACACTGCTCTCCGTTACCCAGAGTAGTAGATGATTGTGAACTTGTAGATTCTTCTTCAAACCAGTCAACAGTTTTAAGAATTGGAAGTACAGGGGTATCCAGACCAAGGAGAAAAAAAAAAAAAAGAAAAGAAAAAAAAGGAAAAACAACAAAAAAAGCCCCACCCTACAGATGTGTTAAAAATATTAGTTCAGCAAAGGCTACTTAAGGTGGAATGAAGACATTAAAGATGATGTCAGGAATCATAACTTTACTGCAAGACATTCCATGTCAAAAAACTTGTAAGAAACAAGTAGCATCTCCCAAGCCTCTGAAACTAACTCAGTTCTTCAATAATTTCAAGAAATTTGCAGCAAGACTGAATTAAAAAAAATAAAAAATCATCTAAAATTAAAAATATCCCCCTCCAAGATGCTGTACTTAATAGTAAAATAGTAGTGCCTACTAAGACAAATTCATATATATATATATAGTTCTTCAGGGAACTATATTGATTAGCTCATTTCAAAACATACCAAATTCTTTCTTAAAACTAGTCAGACAGCCATAACTTCAGAATACTATCAGGTATGACTAAGAGCTCCTCTACCAGTGAGAGCACTTCAACTCTAGTTCTCAGGAACTGCAGAGAACGTAGCCAAACAGACCTGGCTGCATGTATTCCAAAAGGCAGCATGGGTGTGGTTAAGGGTGTGAAACTGAACGTGTTTAGAGGCTGGGCTCTATTCCCAGCCTTGATCAAAGTAACCTGGTGCAACCTCTCAGAGGATTTATTTGTTAAACATGGGGGTAAAAGTGGTTAACTCTCCTTCAATCTGTAAGTATAATGTAGGCAGACATACACTGAGTTCTGTCACCATAGCACACAGATTACTCCTGCAACAAAAGATGTTTTGCTGTTTCATTTTCCTTCACTTCATTTCTCTCCCCACCCCCAGCTGGCATTGCCTTTGAGTTCAGCCATCAGATTTCCTTTAGAAATTATTTTTCAGCTTGCTGAACTGGAATGCCAAGTTTAAGGTCCATGTAATCATGCAAAAGTATTTTAGAACTGAAATTTGACTTTAAACACAAGATTTACTGCAGTAGTAGCTTCAAGAACTGCTAGCTGTCCTCCAACATGATCACAGCAGTACTAGAAATCTAGATACAAGGAGTAGGAGTTTCTCTGCATGCACATACAATTAAAGTCCATTAGAGGTAACACATATGCTCTAAGTACCTTGTGAATTATGTGTTTCAGTGTAGTGATCTCCACACTGGACATGCATAGGAGGCAGTATAAATGGATGTTGTCTAGGCTGAAATAAAAGCACAAGATAGAAAAGGATTAGGAACTCGGTTTGCTACAGTTTTTGCAAATGAAATGTAGAAAAAATAATTCTCTGCCCTCCCCACCAATTATTTCCTACCCAGCCAAACACACATGCTCAACATGTGTAAATTCTTAAACTTTAAGTCCAAAACTGACCAGCTAGATGCATTTATAGCAAACCACTTCAGAAAACAACATTCAGATTCCCATCTCACTTAGAAGATTTGAGAAATTTATAGAAAGTCCCAGTCCTTGAAGAATTAAAACAAGCAAAATCCAACACCCAAACACCTAATTGGGTCAAAAGCTGAAGATGGAACAAGCTCAGGGACCTAGAACACTGTTATATAAGCAGCATCAGCACAGATGGACTTAGAATCTAACTGCAGGTAACCTGAATATTGGATTCACTAAAGAAAAGCCTTTTTAACAGAAAAGGATCCCAGAACTCAGCATTAAATCAGGAGAGTTATTTACAGACAAATAAGTCACAGTTGATGCCATATTCTACTTTGTCCATCAGTAAACTGATACATTTTGCAATTGCCCTTCACCACCTGCACTGTAATGTCCTGTCTGGAGCTGCTGAGCAGTTTATGAAAGCGTGCTTTGATACACAAGGAGAGCAGGGAGAGAAGGAAGATGCTCTTCGCTGTTCCTTAACAACAGAACAAGGGATTGTCATCTAAGCTGATTTAACTAGTTCAAACTATTAAGGAATTCTTTGGATGCCCAAGGTCAAAAAGAAACACCAAATGATTTAGTTTTGCATGCATATGCACAAAATGAACACCAAGCAAAAGTTTGCCAATGGAGAGGGGGTGGGGAAGGGGTTAAATTTACATTTCCTATGTAAATGGGGAGACAGAATGAGAATCAAAGAAACTGAGTGCACATATGAATTCTTGCATATGAAATGGCTGTTAAGCCAGGGCTGGAAGATAACAGGAAATATTTCTGCTAGATGAATTACTTTTAAGGGTATAAAGCCCTACTCTCACTGAACATTTTGGGCAAAGGAGACTAATCCTGACAACCCATGCAGGAGAGATTAGCTGGGAACAAATCAAGATGTTTGAAAGCCTAGAAAATGGAAAAATGGTGGGTGGAAGAAACATGGCACGAGAGAGTTACTTCTACTGGAAATTTATACATCTGGATCAGATAGTTGCCTTTGTTATACAACCAGACAGTACTGAAGCTACTTGCATATATGCATATGGTCTGGGCTTTTTTTTTTTTCTCCCTTTCTTTCTTTTACATTTTTCTTTTGTCTTAACAGTATTGAAAGCTTTCAGGCATGGAGAACTTCAATACCCAACTTATGGATCACATGGATTAAAAAACAACAACAACAAATATATGACACATATGGAGGACGATTTGCTGTGAAAAGAAAGTGTGAAGTGCCTTAAAATAATAGTTAATAGCATCACCACAATGTCAAAACCATATGAAAGGTCTTACTGTGAAAATAACAAATGTGATTCTCAGTCAAGCAGTACAGCCTCACTCCAAAGATTCCACTTCAATTACCATTCATGCCTACTGATTTATTACTACACAAGACAAGTGAATATGCAGGCGTATAAAAGTGCATAGAGAGCAGAAAACAGCCAGCAGGGCTTTCTTTTCTTTTTTTTTTTCCCCTTTTTCTCCTCAAAGAGAATGGCTCAGACAAGTTAGCAAACAATTATGAACACAGTAAAGTTCAACACAGATGGTCAGCAGCCCTGTTCAAGTTTTAACAGACAAGCCTAATTTTGATCCTCCTTTTTTTCTTTTTTATTTTTAAATTTGTTGCCCACTTCAAAATAATCAAGCAGTGGGATTTGGTTTTCCTCTTAACAAGTAGATTACCTTTATCTGTATCTAATAGAAGGCTCTCTCGTTCCCTTTCTGATATATCTGAGGTTGTAGCATAAGAACACACAGCACATTTCATTTCTTCACTTTAATTTTTTTGTTGCCACCTCCAGGGGCCAGATTAGCAGATACTGAAAATATTTTAGGAGTGCTTAAGAGAACGTAATACACAACCACTGTGTATTGTATTAAAACACCCTAGAAACAAGCTGAGAATGAAAGGATAAAGAAAGCTGAAGCCAGCAACAACAGGTTTCCTGCAAATGGCTGGGAAACACGAAATGCAACTTCTACAGCTAACAGGCTATGGCAATGCATGTGCACTCAGAAAAATAGTCTGCACTGAAATCTGCAAAGATAAAACTATTCTAATATCAGTACTGCTTAGTCTTAGTTTTGGAACATTTTTGCTAGCAGTTATCACATCCTGAGGACATCAAGAAAACATTGCTGCCCTTATAAGCCTTCTGCTCACTACGTACCAGTGCTCTAAAGGATCAACAGTGTTGCTACTCTTACTTAACGGGTTCTGAATTACTGTGTAAGAAATAAGGACATACTGGATGTTTAAATTAGATTCAAAAAAGCATCCTTAGAACTGTCCAGGCCAGAGGGGAAATATTCCCACGCAAATACTCTTTTTTTGTCAAGATTTCAGGAAAAAAGATTTTTGTGTTGTTTTTTTTTCCTTTGGTCAGAATTATAGTATTTATCATTTCAATGAGCAGACTGAAAAAAAATCTCCAAAAGAGTCTCGGATTGTTGATAAAAATTTTACTTAAAATAACACTGACTTCATAGAGAGAATAGGCACTCAAGTCTAGAAACAGAGTAAACTGAGTTAAACTAAACTAGATTTTTACAAAAATCAAATCATTGAGAAAAACACAAGAAGCTGTAAAATTAATGCAGCGAATGGATCTCAACATATTCAGCAAAAGATGGCTCACAGTATTTCTAGGTGTAGAGGACTGCTTTCTTTAGAATACAGTGTCAATCCAGTAGAAAAGACTCTTAGTTTCTGCAGGGCAAGTAAAAATATAGTTCCTTGACGACTGTAATTTTAAGAAAGTCAGTGATGATATTATCCAGTTAAACTAATCAACTTGGGCAGCCACACCCCGAAATTCATTCCAATCATATTGCCTACAACAAATGATTTTATGTTCTTATTTGAAGTTTAGAAAGTATTCCATCTTACACAATGTCCCATCTCATCAGAAGAGGTACAGACACTCATAAAGGCTGCAGCACAGTACGTACCAAAGATGATCTACTCCAAGTGGGCCGTCGTCGGATAGGGGGAGGAGAACTTGATTGTCTGTGGAAGAAAAAGTAAAGAGAAATGCTAGTCTACACTATTTCAATTCTAATTATGGAATGAAGGGGAAGAATGAGAGATGAAGGATCTGTAAATACTGCTCATTTATGAGATTAAATGAATGCAAATAAGATGAACATACTTTAGATCTCTCTTTAAATACAGTATTCCAATTCCAAAACATACATGCCTTCTATTGATTATTCTATTTAGCTTATTTGGAAACACAAGAAAAAAAACAACTGAATCAAACAAAAAAGTCTCTTAAGCAATAAAAACTGCACATGTCATACAGGCACAGTCTTAGATGACTTAATGTGAATACTAAAAAAATACAATTTCATGAAATTCATAGCAATCACTCCAAAGCAATGCACACAGATCAGGAGGAAAAAAACAACTGGTTAATACCAGCAGGACCAAATACAGTGTTAGAATAGCTATGTGAAGTGGAAGGAAGGAGGAATGTGGAAGAAAGAAAATGAAAAAAGAAAAGAAATACTTTGAAGGAGGCAGAAATACAGTGCTTACGTGAAGAGAGGAAAGGTGGAATTTCTCCTCCTACAGTTTCTGATCTGGTGAATGATGTTATGTGCAATTAGAGGAAATGCTCACAGGAAAGCAAACAACTACAATCTTAACATAGAGGTCAGGAAAATTACTTGGCTAGAAAACACACAATGCCATAAGCAGTCATCAATATCTGTGGCCCTAACAAGAAGCTGATACCACATGAGACCGTGGTAGGAAGGAAAGCAGTTCTAGTGGCAGAAATGCATTCAAACACCAGTTATTTCTTCCACTGATCTCTTGATGTTCCCTATCTTTATTAATTCAAATATCTGAAAGCTGTATGCAAACCTGATACACCCTGTTCATACTGACACTCACATACTTATGGCTCAGTGTTCAGAAATAACCATGAGTAAAAGCTATTGCTTCTACAGTTTAGATGATTAACTGGAATGGAATAGTGCTCTCTGCTGACCCCAGTAAACAGCTTTAAAGGGGAAATAATTCTCAGACAACAAATAACGACATTTTGTTTTCTTTTCTGACTGTGACAGCAGAGATAAATGAGAACTTCCTCTGAATTCAATTCTTCTCAAAGTATTAACTTTAACACTGGGCTATTAAAATGCATTATACTCTGATAATAAAGGCTTTTTCTGGTCTTCTGCTCAACTTCCAAGGGCAAGCATTATCTGCAATCTAATCAACATCTTTTTCTGTATGCAAAGGTATCACCATGTGTAGTTTACCTCATCAGTCTCTCTAATACTTGCAATTCACCATATGTTTATATATTACGTGCACGTGTAATACTTGAAAGTTAGACCTTCCAATCATCCCTTCATCACTGGCTTAATTTTCCAACACAGTACTACCCAGCTGAATAGATTGGATGTCCACCTCTAACTAGAACTTTTGATGAGATTTCTTCATAGCCCCCTAGCTGTCTAAACTTAAGTTTTGCAAAGGATTCGTGATCCCACTGCTATACAAATCTGGCATATTTTGAAATACTCACAAAACACTCGACTTATTAAAGCTAAATTTGTCTCAAACTAAAATTGGCCATGTGCTGGTATAAAAGAAGCATTCTCAGCTGATAAACTTAGTTTTGACTTACAACTAGAGTCTTATGAATTCCTCCTTCAGTTTGAGTGAATACACCTGTGAGAGAGAATGAGCTCATGGCCAGTTTTTTAGTAAGTGCTCAAAGCAGAGCCTATAAAAGACTCTGGGTTCAGATTTAGTCTCTGCTGAGTTGTGTTTGTATGGCTATGTAAATGAACTTCCACAGGTCTTCCCCCTGCTTGGTGCACATAAGAAGGAGATTAATTACGCTACCCAAATTAGAAGAGGATATCCTGTGTTTTCCACCAACCTTACTTGTTAGATACATAGCACATCTTTAAAATGCTACTGTAATTCATATTTTGGCATGTTAACATAAGTCACCTTTCAATCCATTTTATACTAGCACTCCAGGTTGTTATGAACAGCACAGACTAAAGGCTTCAGTTCATTATTCTGTCAGATTTGGTTGTTCAGGGAGCAGTACCCAACAGAGCTCATACATCCAGCCTCTCTGGGCTCAGAATTAAATTTTTACTTCATTCTGCTGTTCTAGGTAATGGTTAAAACAAGAAAGAAAAAACAGCAAAGTAGAGCAGGATAACTGACACAAGTGACTAGGAAAAAACAACAAAGCCAGACACACCAAAACTCTGAGCACTTCCAAAGCAGGGTGTCAGAATACAATTCTGAGGAAATACTCACTCTGTGCAGATTTTGTTCTGTTTGTAAAACTTATGTCTTGCTGCAAACAATCGTGAGATATATTTAGCATTTTCAAGATCATCCTTTGAATGCAAGGGAAACAAAAGAAAAAAAGAAAAAATGCATATAATCATTCATTTTGTTATTCTTACTAAGAAATAGCAAGGGCTCTACAAATCCAATCATAGTAATGCTTAGTAAGGTCTGTCATGTACAGAATATGCCTGCCAAGAACATGTCTAGTGCCCTCAAGAATGTTTAAGGCATTGAATTACTGAAGTAGTGCGGCATGCCTTCGCATGCTGCCTCTTCACTGCGGGGTCACGATGGAAGGAGAAAAGGACAACAGAAAAAATGGCTGCAAGTTGCTGGCTCAGTCTCTACACTGGCTTGGTTCAGTGAGATGTAGACGATTTTAAGTGCAGAGCAACACTGCACTCCTTGAGTCCCAGCGCATGCACGTGTGGGAGCTTGTCTGCTGTTCCTACAGCTTCTTGTGCTGCTATTGACGTGCCAGTATGACAGGCAGTGTGGCACCATGGATGTTTCACTGAACAAGCACTTCAGTTTTTTTGCAGAGTTCCCAGCATATTATTACTTAAGTGTGTTTAGAATTAGAATTTAAAAGGTTTTTAATAAATATGCTTTATATAAGCAGATTTCTTGATAACGCTGATTAGATCTTTTTCTTACTGTGTGAAAGAGCACATTCTCCTCTTTGTTGATCAGCTCTAGAATAATTGAAGACTTGTTATGTGCAATATTCCCAATGTCATTCCACCTGTAGAGTAAAAAAAATGTGGTAGAGTTTGCCAACACATACATTCAAGCATTTCACAAATGCATTAAGTATCCCTCAGTCAACATTAGTCTTGCTTTATGGGAAAGCTTTTTCAGTAGCTGTTTGGTGAAGAAACATGGCCAGGATAACAAGGAGATCAAGCTCCGATTCAAGGAGAAATAGATTTTTTCAGTTCTTAACCTGAAGCAGGAAATTTAAAAGCTCTCTTTAAAAACACTGTCTTCAGGAATTGCAGCAGAATGTACACTGAAAACGCATTAGCAATAAATACCCTGAACACTAGCATTTTTGTATTGCTTGACTGCAAACAGATGGAATTTTTTGTTTCCTGCAGTGCCATTCCTGCTGTTTTCACCTTTCCTACAGAGACAGTTCTTTCTAAAAAAGGGCAACTTGTCTACATGGTTACATAGGCTACGCATACCATGTTAATGCTCTGCTTAACGTTCACACTTTTTTTTTTTCCAAGTAATTGTCAGGTTACCCAAGATTGGAGTTGTAATCTTCTTACAAATAGCTGACAGACAGACACAACAGACACACTGGCACACATTGCATGCAATCCATGGGGATGGAAAGGACTTGTTTGTTCTGTTTGCAGCATGCATTCCTCTTCATGTCATGGCAGGATGCTTGGAGTGCATATTTGCAAGAGTAAGGATCCCAGCACCAGCTACCATTTCTACATTTAAGAAACTTCTTGGTTTTGACACTACATTTTAAGATGCCCTCAGAATGGCACAATTAAAAGAATTATCTAACTTCTTCACGGAATTACACATGTAAAACATCAGCCATATGGAAAAGAGAGACTTGACAATCTCAAAAATAATCATTTAATGCCCTTTTTAGGTCAAAACAAAACAAACAAAGCTAAGCAAAACAACAACAAATAAAAACCAACACCCTTCTTGTTCAAGTCTGCTACAAGCCTTAGTTTATGACTAAAAATGAGTGTACCTCATAAATTAATGTTCAGGTTCACATCCTAACAGCAACAAGGATAGGAAAAATCCACTCCACATTAACACCAACATTAATGGAAACACTCAACAGTAGCAGAGATCTTGCAACACTTTCATACATAACAATTTTTTTTTTTGAGTTACAAAACCCACAAGAGAAGGTCAGTAAAAGGCTTTAGTAATTCTTAAAAATCAAAACAGTTGTACAAACATGTAAATGACAGACACACAGATTTCAAAACTGCAGTGAGGAAGTTCAGATTTTTTAGTGGGATATCTAAATATGGAAACCAGATTTTCAGAAACATTGAGTGCCTAGACTGCCAGCAGTGAGGTTTAACAGATTTGCATTCAGATGCATCAAAGAAGCAGACACAAAGGCAAGAAAAGAAAAAGCATCAAAGCCTTGTAAGTAGAACATGATACATGACAGACAACTACATCTTTCTTGCCATCAAACCTATTCAGGGACATCAGAAATTATTCTTTATCACATCTCTTATGGCCAAGAGGCCAGTGCTGAAAACAGTGAGGTGACTACTCCTTAGTGAGAGGATTGGGACTATTGAAGTCACATATTTAAGTAAGGAAGAAAAAAAAAACCACACACAGAGCTCTGAACACAGCACTTTAAATGCTGAAGTCCGTAGCTTTTACCTATAGATCACAGTTGTCCTTCCAATTCTGTTTTTTATGAAGATTCCCATGAAGAAAATACCGAGGTGTATGTCATTTCCATGATTATCCTGCACAAAAAAGGTATATATTTAGATTAATCAAGAAACTGGCACAGGCATGCGCAAGAACATGTGCTGAGCTACCAAACAGAAGCCATTCTTAAGGATGAATGTGGGACTAACCTTACTAACCTACAGTTTGCTGCTTTACAGGACTCTGATTTTCATTATTTCAAAGCACCTAACACTGAGGTGGATTCATTATGTTGATAAGCGAGAATAGATTAAGGCTAAATGAGCCCAAAGTTCTCCTGCAGGAAACAGCAAAGACACCACAAACAGGCATTTGTTATGTAACAGCTCACATACCCTATAACTGTGAGTATAATTATCTAGAATCCTTATGACTCTCAAAAGCAACAGTCCTCATTCACACTCATTATTTCTCCAGTCACCTGATAAAACAGAGAGATTTCAGAATCCAGACCATACCTGGAGATGGAATCCATCTCAAAAACTTTACCCATCACACTTCCTCATTCAAAGTATTCTGTGCATGTCACCCTAAGACGTACTTGTATCTTTATACAGACACAGCCTGCACTGCTTTGCAATTATTGCTTAAATATTCATCTGCGTGCATCGTATACCGTCCACTGTTCTTGCAATGCTTTTCAAAAACCATTGACTTTCTGTGTCTACCCATACTTCCCTGCAGGATCCCATATGTGCTTCTGTTGCATTTTACAGTTCTTCTCTTTAAAATGCTTTTTTCTTACTGCTAGAAGAGCTTAATGATGTTGACAAGTTTTTCTACATTTAATCGACAAAACCAACTCTTCGCTAGCTTCACATACAGCAATGGAGTCAAATTGCACATGGCAGAAAGAAGCTTCCAGTAAAGGGGAACTGGCTACAGTGCAAATTAAACCTTGAACAACCCCCTCAGTTTTAACTGTGTGGAGGACTTGTGTGTAGGTGTAAGAAATTAAGGAAAGGGTAAAGTTAAGGCTTAATAAATAGCAACTTAGAAAGATAGGAAAGAGATCTTAGCCTCCTATCCTGTGAAATAAGACCAGAACTGAGGTTTATTTGCCACAGTCATTCTCCCTCAGGAACATCTCAGCTTCCCAAGGGAGCATCCATGGTAGACAGACCCTGGCACATACAGTCTTTTGTGTCAAAAGGATTTTGGTGGAGGGGAAGTGACAGCAGTAGGATACCCTCATGCTGCAATCTCCATTCAAACTACCAGAAACCATTTAATCTTCTAGAACGGTGAAACAACTCCCAGGTCTTCCGGATGAACAACGCACATGTGTTACAAAGCTCACTGCATAACTGGATGTAGGGGTTTCTTTCTTATATATGCTAACATACCTTCACAGGGAACAGTTCCTGTCCAAACCCATCAAGGCGTTCCACTTCATTGATGTACATTAGCTCAGCCTCTGCTGCTGTAATGCCACTGCAATTGGAATAACAACAGCAAATGATTCAATATCACATACACATACATAAAATACATTAGTGAAAAGAATGGCAGATTCATAGACCACTTCAGAGGATGTTTTGGAGATGCTGCCCAGCAATGTACAACAAATTCAACTTTCAATGATAGGATCACAAACAGTAAGGGGTGGAATTTTACTGTACATTGCTAAGGTAAGGTTAAAACATAGTTCAAACTATAGGAGGAATATACTGAACTGATCCTTTGTTCACTGCATCAAATATTTTTCCAGGCTTTATTAAACATCAGGTTGTTGCATTAGACTGTGTCTTTGTGTCTAGTCTTGGATGGCCAATTTGAGCCATCGGAGTCCTAATTTGCATTAACAGCATATAAACTCACTGAAGTTGCTTAAAATGACTTAAAAGTGAAGACCTACATTTTCATATTGGCTGCAACATAGGCAATAATCGAAGTTTTGAGAAGGTTCTCTTTCGTAACAGAAAACCAACCCTCTGAAAACTTCTACACACGTGTCTGCACATGCTCCTGTCACAGCTCAGGAATTCAGACAGACTTCAGTTCTCAAAAGCAGGTCAGAATAGATTGTAGGTTGTTCCAAAAGAAGGTCACAATTAATGTTTCTCCTCTTTGTTCCTCCTTAGTACAGCTTACAAACAGAAATATAGGAACTAGACACTTAAGAGAAACAGGGACAGAAAGCAGGTGGAATTTGATCTGCCTGCTGAAGTAAGGATAAGTGTTGGTCCTTTGTGAAGCTGAAATGGCTCTAAAGAGCACAGCAGGGGGTGGAAATCTTACTTTTCAAATCTGTGAGTTAACCAAGATTGCACAAGCAGCCCTGAGCAAAGACTGAAGAACGAAATCAAGTCTATTCATGGTCAGCTTGGAAGCTAACCCTTTGGTTTGCATCAAAGGCCCAAGCTTACACTGAAACTCAGACTGAGAATGGCCTTCCACTCAGATATTGGTACTTGTACCTTTAGAACCATTTTTTTTTGTTGCGTAATCAGGAATGTTGCATCTTTCATATAGCATTCCAACTATATTTCATATAGATAGATAGAATAGAGCTTTAAATGTAGATTATCAACAAAATATAGATTATTTCCAGTAACACACAGTGTCATTTTTCTAGAGGTTTGAATACCTTTACCATCAGGACACAAAAAGATGACACAAAAGAAGTCTATTTACAAAGGAAGACTTCAGGACTAACATGGAGATTATTGATTAGTGACTGTGTATTTAAATTTTTCTACAAGGAGACTTAAAACTCAACAAGATAAGGTGCATTTTGTCATTTTCATTTACATTATCTTGGGAGGGTATGTATCCCTCCTCTTGAATGAGAGAAAACCTTGAAGAGACCCCCTTGGACCACCCTGTTCAAGTCATGGGGGTCTTTCACAGCCCAGATTTAAATGAAACCAAAAAGAAAAAGAAGTCTAGTACATAACAAGTAGCTTTACAGATGTTCCTTTAACCTGATGGTGGAAATGCTCATTTATTTGGGATGGAATTCCATGGCAAATTTGTGTGCCCAGCAGGCAAACACTAATTAAAAATCCAGCTAGATGTAGCATAACAGTAACATGGAGAAAAGTTAGTTACCACTGCAAGGAAAAGGTGGGGAAGAAGGAGAGTACAGGAAGGAGAAGGACAATTGAAAAAAAAAGAAGGAAAGCTGAATCTTCACATATCAAGTTCACCTGTGTGTTCGGTGTTCCTGTGCAACCTTTTGAGTCAGTTCCTCCAGGACAGCTTCATCCTGGGTCCAGTCCTATAAAAATATTAAGTAGCATTAAAAACTACTCATCCAAAGAGACAGCATAATGCAGGACAGGAATTCCGACGGCATGCTTTAGGGTTGTTTCCTGTTCGTGCTCTTGGAGGCAGTTACAGAGAAGGAGCTTAACACCAACTGCACTGCAAATCCAGGGCACATGTTTGAGCAGGGGTTGCTGAAGACATGCAAGAAAAATATCATGGTCTGAGATGGGTTATTTTGGAGGTAAAATGATGCTGTTAAAAAGAGTGCTAAGGTGGGGTTTTTTACTGCAAAAATCAGAACAGACTGCAGAGCATGGATAAGAAATCTTTTCCTGGATAGGGACCAAACAAGCCTTGAAAAGCACTTGGAAGTCTACAAATGAATATATACCTTTCAGAACAGTCCAAAATAATTCACACACCACGCAAACTGAACTTCTGGGTATTTCCTGTCCTGCAGGTACTGCCTTCCCCGTGTTAACAGGGATCAAAAACTTTGCTATCTCTTCTACTATGTAATAGAATTCACTTCAAAGTTGTGACACATTTCTGAGTAGAGTTTTTTTCTTCCAAAAATGAGATTATATATAGGGTAGGAAAAAATCTGAAATAATTGGGAGAATCTTAATAAAGAAAGTCTGCTCATAAATTGAAGACAACAAAAAGGAAGCTAAAACATTTTCTTGCAAAATGTTCTTATTTTTACTTTTAAAAGCCTTAAGACTGCATGTAATGTACTTAAGTACGCTGCTTGTTTCTTGCTTAGCGAGGCCCTCCCTCTGATATTTGCTTCTGTCACAAAACTATGTGAGAGTGGTAGCGTGCTAATGAAAAATGGCACTGTACATGCCTATGCACAGCTACACACCTGTGGGGTGTACTGTGTACATAACTTTGTTCTTTTCACTACTGAAGAAATGCCATTTGACACACACTGTAGCCTCACAAGATCAAACAGTAAAAAGGTGCTGCCCCTCCCTCATGCACCGTCTCTCTTCACTAATGAATTTATGGCAATGTTCTTGTTGGAGGCTCTTAGTGTGCCTGAGATTTGCTGAAATACTCCCACTTGCTTCAGGACTAGTTTATATCTACAGCACTTAGCAACTGTCACCGAATTTGTGGTGAAGTATTTACTGCTGTATTACTCACTCCTCCCCAGCAGGGCAGAGACCAGAAATTAAAGAAGGGAAAGAGATGCCTAGAGAAACAGCTGATTTAAGAGTAGTCTCCTGAAGGCTAAGGAAGCCAATACTTTGCTATTCTTGTCAAATTTGTTAGTAGTAGCATGGATGAATGGCTAGATACCACAAAGTAGTAAGAGGAAAGCTTACCACCATACAGACCACAACAACACAGCAAAGGCAGTTGACTCACAACATAAGTTCTAGGATATTAGCCTGAAAAGTAACTGCTGAACTACATTGAAATGTGTCTTGAAATCTCATTTGGAGGCTTAAACTCTCCCCTATTTTTTATTTTTTTTTTAAATAAAAATACCATCAGTATATTGAAAGAACTTTGTAGGTGTAATTTATGAGGTGACAGCTTGACTACACCTTTCTGACTGTACTTGCAGTCATCAACTTTCCCACTTAAACTACCATACATGCCTTCGTAAGCCATCAACTATATACAAAATCATCAATTACCAATTAATAACAAGAATGCTTGTTGTAACAAGAACAGATGAATAACACCTATTCCTAACAAAGAGGTCTTGCTCCACTAGTCAGTTTAACAGAGGATCCTCAGTGAAAGGTCAATACCAAAGCCCTGATCTAGGTATAAAAGATTCAGATCTCTGCATATTCATTAATTTCTCCTCTTCTTGCTGATCTTCTTTTTCAGGTGACAATCAACTCTGCCTGCTAGCTTGAAATTGCACTTTCACATCGAGATACTGTGTACACATCACCTCTTTGGACTTGAGAATTGACTACCAGCTTACAGCTTACTGCAGTTCCCACGCAGTCAAAAAGTGAAGGTAAATGGGATGAAATGCTTTAATCATTCTCCTTCTGTCTTTCCACTTACTGAAGGAAACCAGCTGCTTAATTTTTAGGCAGTAACAATTCAGGCAGTGGAAGCCCATCTCACTTCCAAATTTTGTTTCTAGCCTGACAGAATTTCAATTTCTTTTATTTTGTGAAGTTTATGCTCAAGCTCTGTGCTCATGGAGTTTCTGAACTAAAACAGCCTTAATCTAAGGTGGTGGTGTTTTGTTTCTTTTCTCCTTTCTTTTCTCTTTTTTCCTCCATTTCTTTTAATCCATTCTCCCAGATGGACTCATTGTCATGGGTTACAAGTAGTTGGCCTTTATCACCATAGTTGCCAATGCCATCAGTGACTTAAAACACTTCCCTCAGCATTCAAATCATTTGCTTGTTTCCCATTTAAATTTAAAACAATTTCACAGCACAGTCCCTGGAGAACATTTTGAGAATAGATTCACAGTTCACTTCAGTCTAACAGTCAATTGGTGTAAAATCACATTCTCTTGAGCAAAGATTGCATGATTTGTCCTGTGGCACAACCTTATTACATCAGCAGTTTTTATATTCCATTGTTTGGCCATGTCACTAATGCTGCAGTACAGTTAATATACAACATTCTGAACAGCTGCAAATTGTTTTTTGATTCAAGAAAGTACACTTTTTTGTTGATATCTACTTTCAGTGGAGACTTAGCAGGAACTGAAAAAGAGCTAAATTTCTATAGCACTTACTCATCCAGCTGCAATCGAGTATATTGCAGAGCAAGGTTTATTTCCGCTATTAATAATTCAGTGCTGGTGCTTTTATTCTGTTATCAACAAAGCCATCTCTGAGGCGTGGAGAAATTAGTCATAAAAGACCACAAGACAGGAGGATAAGGAACTCACCATAGGAAACAAGACATACTCTCGGAGGAAGTCATGAGATTCAAACTGATGATAGTCTCCAAAATCCGCTGGAAAAAACAAGACAATTACTCATTTTAGCACTTTCTACACATATTGAGACCACACTCAGTCTTTGCGCAGATGCTTAACTTCAAGTGGGTGAGTTCTCTGTGAAGCCACAACCCAGAACAAAGATTTCTGTTTGTACTTTAGCTTTTAACACGGAGGTCTGAAAATAAAAGTGCTATTACAAGAGATCAAATAACAGCCAACAAGCAATTTCTCTCTTTTGATCCTTTATATTGTGACCATTTGCAGTGCTTAAACATCAGGAGTGCAAGAGGTTCTTTTCTTACTGTAACCTCAACGAATTAATACTACCATCTGGCAAGACCGCGATACCCCTGTCTCTTTAAAATGGTACAGAATTCTGCTTCTCCAATAACCCCAGTCCTAACCAGGCAAAAAGAATTTAGCCTGCCTCTGCTACAATTCTACATAATTGTATGAAAAAATGCTTAATTTTACAGCCTAGGAAGTGAAGATCAGCAAGTCAATTATATTGAAAAAATAATTTAACAGAGGTTCAAAATTGTAGAAAATGCTTCCAAAAGGCTCAGCTACTTAAAAAAAAAGAAGAAGAAGAAAAAAAAAAGAATATATATCTGTTAAATACACAACAACTTATATCAAAAGAATATCTTGCCGGGAGGTTTCTATTTTATATTAACTGAAGTGGATCAAACGCCATCTACAAGATTCTTATATTATAGAAGGTGGAAATCCCCACCATAAATCATATTAACTAAACATTCTTTCAAAGCTTCCAGACAACTTCATGTATTGCAGGATGCCAAAAATGCAGTTTCATTTTGTTTTCACCTCAGAGTTATGTTTTAACATAAACAGAAAGAAATCAAAATAGACATGAAACAGACTCTGCAAGTTTGAAGAAGTATTTCAAATATCTTTGGTTGCATCACACAAAAAGGACAAAGGGAGTAACACAAGGTCATGAATAAAGCAAATAAGATTAAGTGCAAGATGCAATGGCCTTTGAAATATTATAGATTACATTGAAAATTCAGGACAACTACTGCAAAATGTTACAGATTAGCTCCCAAAGTCAGCAAAACCTTCAAGAAACACAGGAGCAGACAAACATATTTGGTGCCTATTTATCATTAACTTACATATTGGCAAAGTTTAATTTTCTCATATTACAAGATTTAGAGTAGAATCTTATATTCATCTTCTCCATTATTCACAGAACACATCAAGATATAACAGGAAACATTTTTCCTTCAAGCTTTAACCAAGCAATAAAATACTACAACAGAATAACTGCCCTATAAAAATCATATTAATATTACTCTTAATCATAATTGGCATTATTTTTAAGGCACTGCTATTTGACAGTACAATTTCAGAGTACTTAAAAAGAAAAGTGGTTGCTGATACTCTCTCAAACACATTCAAGGAAGCTGGTACAGACAGAACCTAGAGACCTGGGTTTTCATTTTTATCTACTGTTCTCTCCGTGCCAGAAAAGAGCATGATGATTAACACCTTTGATAACCTATTCTTTAAGACAGTTGCAAAGCATCTCAAAAACTACCAACGGCAGCAAGAAGCAGATCATGGCTGCTCTGGCGCTCCTGCAACTACAAAGCTTACTCAAAATGGAAAAATGAAGATTCTTAGCTTTCATTTAGAACTTTCTGAAAGTTCTATATTTTCAGCAACTCTATTTTAAGAGTCAGATACTCACATATAAAAATTTTACTAGGGCATGATGCACCACAGAACCTGTAAGTTTCAAGAATCAGACCTTCTCATTTGTTATGATATACATGTACTTGTCCCTGTTCCCTGAGAGGTGCGGTGCTGAGCGCACGATTGTTGGAATTTACTTTGAATTCTCGTAGTCATGGATAGATTGAAATATACTTTCTACAAATACAGGGCTTCCTTCTTTACCCATGTACATGCATGATCTTACTTTTATTGATGTCCTTAGGAGGCTTAGAATAAAAAGCAGTTTATTAATTTATAATTCATGTAAAAATTATGGTCATGTGTTCTTTCATATTGCAGATAGTGCTACACAGCAAAATGAGTTTTTAATTAAAGGTAAAATTAAAATTGCTCCTATGCTCTTTGATGTAATTCCACTTTAAACCAGAGAACGCGAAGCAAATTCATTACTGTAAAGTACTTTGTGGCTGGAACTAGAACTGGAGTCTAGTTCAAATTCACCAACATGGCTTTCAGAAAAAAGGAAAGCTGCAGATTGTGATGTGGTCCACCATCCCCTCCCTCAGGGTACAAGCATTTCATCAACACCAGTCCACCCACGCATTTTTAAATATGTAAAAGAAACCTGGCTGTTGTGAATAGGAGTCATACACGGCCCTAGTTAGTACCAGTCAACATCTAGAACAACCCCAAATATCCCAGTTGGAAAATGGCAAGCAGATCACGTCATCTTACCTTGCACTGCTAAAGCAGCTAGTCGAATTCCCTGTTCCAGTGAAGAACGCAATCGGCCATCAAGAATGTCCTTTTTCACTTGTAGGTAATACTGATATCTACAAAGCAGAAAAGAAATCAAACCAGAAGGGCAGTATGTATATACAACTTCTACAGAACAACAGACTACTTAAAGCAAGAAAAACTCGCTACAAACATGTCAGGCAGCTAAACTGCAGTCAGTGCGTGGTTTAAGAAGTTCCACATCATCTGTAAAGTACACACATGTCAGCAAAATAAATCAAAATGATCCCTACATGTGCAATGTTTCCAGGTGTATGAAAAGGAAAATAAGATGTTCTAGTTTGATTTAAATGTTCTAAACCACAAAGATGTGGGATATCTGCTGGGACAACCTCTGCTATAAATTCTGTGCAAGTTACAGAAGACCACGCATTCTACAACTCACAAAGAGGCTGATGCATCTATGTGCTGTTTTTTACTCAACTATCACCATTTTGATAGGAAAAAAGGAATGTAGCAATATATTTTGGTCGACCAGTGTAACTTTGTGGCCCATATAGAAGTGTGTGTGGTGGTTTTTTTTTTAACTGGAATCTTCATCTGTAACACTGGCCTAGACCCAGTAAAGCAAAACCAATTTCTAATATCACAAACTTGATCAACAACTAATCACAAGGTAAACTACATTTAGGCACCACTCCAATAAGACCAGTCTGCATGTCCATTCAGTCTCATGCACCCCACCCCTGGACCTGCTGACAGTAACTGATGTGCCTTGCTAACCGCAGTCCAGAAAACCTAAAAGTCATCAAATGAAGAAGTGAAGAGGTTTCTTGAGCTGTGACCATACACATCAGTCTGACCCACCTTAACCAGGTTACAAGGCCAGGATGTCCTTTACAGGTCACCGCCCTGTGGTGCAGGCCCTGTCCCTCACCCCCAGCTGCCCTCCCCTGACGCAGCTCCATGCCGTTCCCTCAGCCCTGTCGCTGTCACACAGAGCAGAGCTCAGTGCTCCCTGTGAGGAGCTGCAGCCACCACGAGGCCCCCCCTCAGCTCCTCTGCTCTGGGCTGAGCAAACCCAGAGATGACAGCCACTGCTGACACACCTCCAGGCCCCTCGCCATCTTCTTAGTTCTCCATCAGACACTCTTCATTTTTATGTCCTTCTTAAATTGCAGTGCCCAAACCTGCACACAGTACTTGAGGTAAAGTTGAACCAGTACAAAATAAAGAGGGCATCCCCTCAAAACAGAATGGAATTTAAAATAATCGTTTGAACAAAACCAGATCACTCTGTCAGAACTGGATTAAGAAAGAAGTCATACACAAGGATGCTAACCAGCCTCAGAGCCTCTGGCCATGGCAAAGGAATAGCAGTCAAGAAGACTCAGGAAAATAAATGCCTAACTGGACCAGCACACCACATTTGACCTTAAGTTTGAACCTTTGGGAATAGAATATAAACAGTTCTCGTCTTACTGATTTCACGCACTTAAGTCGCCTACCTGGTACCAAGGCAATTCATTTTTCTGCAACAAAGGGCCACTCAAATATCACCCGTGTCACAGGAATTGCACTACCTTAATTACACTCAAAAAAATTACCACTTAACTCTGTGCAAGCATTAGAAAAAAAAAACAACCTACATGCTTAAAAACCAGCATAACCCAAGCCATTCTTTGAGGGGTATTAATCAAATACAGCATTTTACACTCTACCTCAGTTAATTCTTCTGTCAGCAATGTGAGATGCAGTAACTTGCCACTAGACAGCACCAATGCTCTGAACAGACCGGTACTCAAGGTAGCAGCACCACTGGCAGCTACAAGCAGTGCAACTCTCTCAGTGAAAGGCCTGTGGATATATTTTAATGTCTGGAAAGTTCCCCTTTGAGTTCACGGATTTTATGTGCACTTAATAAATAATTGTTGGGTTACTCATTTTTAGGTTTCCTCTTCCCTCTCACTTCCCCCAGAGAGGAGTAAGAATAACATTGTCAAAGAGGAAAGAAAATGTTCATCAGAAGTGCTTAGACATGGCTTTCACAGAGTCATGAAGGTTAAATCTTCTGCCAACTTTGAAATTTGATGGAGAGAGGCAATATAAAATCATACTGCTTCTCAGCATGACACCTGTGCTTCAGCCCCAGGCTTCACACTTGCCTAGCCCAAGAGACAAGTCAGCTTGTTTGCAATTCTTTGCAATGACTAACTCTAAATTCTGAAAACACATGCTTTCATGCAAGCCTGATGTAAACTGCTTTGTCAAGTATATAGGTGAGTAAGTGTTTGCTGAATCTGATCTTAAAGACTGTAATCCTGAAGCATGCTATTTATGGCACTGGTACATATATATGCATGAGTTGCACATTCTAGTCTGGCAGAACAAAAGGAAAATCCTCCATCTTCCTTAAAGCTCTACACAGTTAGAACAATTGCTAAAGCAGACACAAAGTTAAGAGACCACATGAAAATGAAAATAATGTAGAATCCTATGACATCCTGGCTCTATAAAAGTCAAGAGTATCACCAGCTTTCATGAAGCCATGATTCCAATTGCAGTACCCCAAAACCATAGAGAAATTATAGTTTGGGTTATCCAAGTAAGCATCATGAAAAAAAAGATGTCAATGCAATTACTGTAGTACCAAATACTGTGACCACAGCTTTCAAAAGGCAAAGTGATGTGCTATACCTGCAATTTTAGACAATACTTTAGAAAAATGTTTTAAGCAATCACTTAACACTTTATGGAAAAGATGCCCATTTGAAGGTGTGCAAACTTGTATCGGATGCCAGGTCATGCTCAAAAAATCTTAACAGCATTATTCTACCATATTATGGTACAGCATTGCATTTACTAACACTGTAGTAGAACAAAACACAAGGATTTGTTACCAATAGACCGGAGTCACATAAGGCATGAACTGGAGTCACTAATTCCAATGTCCAGGAAGAGGTGGAGCTGAGCTGTCACTGAATGCCCTGAAGGAAGCTCTGCTCAAAGGCTATAATAGCTCGAGGAGCTGCAGATTCATGGCTCGGTTGTTCTGCAAAACTGTGGTCAGGCTTTCTGCCCAGTCAACAGGGAACAGAAATTGGCCCATATTCTATCTAGGATTCAAGGCTCTTTCATCTGAAATTATGTTAAACATTGTTATTATGTCACTCTGCTATAGCTGAGAATGCTCTTTGTTTAGGTTGCTAAAGTATATCTATAATTTGAAGGCAATTAAACATTTTAAAAATGATTCGGCTATACATTCACTGAGGAAAGCTGTTCCAGAACAGCACATAAAAACATGCATTTCATAAGCCTCTTATTAAGTGGTTTAGCAAAGAAAGCACATGGAAACTGAACAAAAGAAAAGTTTGCAAACTTTACCCCCAAATAATAAAAAGCAAGAAATTCAAAACTAAAACTCACAAAGCTTTACACACAAAATCAGTCTGGGATACCAGGGGAGCACAGAGAAGAAGAGAGACCACCACAGCCAAGTGGACTGACAGCTGAAATCTCTCACCCTCATTTTTGGGTTAGCAGTTTTTAGCAGAGCCTTTGGGTGCTCAGTACAATGAAGGCTACTACAGTTTGCCAGCCTGTAGCTATTTCCAAAGGGAATGGGAGTGGACAACAAGTCTGAACAAAGCCATAATTATAAGGGTATCATTTCCCACAACTCTATTTAACCATCATAGAATACATGAAGAGTACATTTGCATTTATTGCACTGAAAAGCACACTTTTTCTGAAGTAAACTGGACAGTTATGAGAACATTTGTATTCCAGAATCAACATCTGCATTTTAGCAATACATAATGCGTCAGAGGGTTAAAAAGCCTAGAAGCAGGAGATAAGGGTAACGTTTTGAAATGTAATTCCAATACCCACATTCTGACTCAGCTGCAGCTGTGTAAACCTATGGAAACTCCATCTGCCCTTACAATTCCGCATAGACCTCCCAAGACCAAGTTTCCTGTTCTGCTCTCACTTGAAAAAGAACATGGGTATCCATAGAGTGTCACTGACTTTTCCCTGTACTGCTCAATCACAACTGATTACCCAATATATCCTGTCTGCTGCTCTTCTAAATCTGGTGAAAGTAACTCAGCTTTTTGGATTTACACTCTCTTCAATAAGGAATATTTCTCAGTACAGTCAGTCATGCAGAACCTGGCCCAATCAACACTGGCAGTCAGATCTGCATGGAGATATTTAAGGGTGGTCTAAAAAAGCAAGAGTATGGGTTAATTTTGCAGAGTCACTGTTGGTGCACTTTATCTTCAGTTTTCCTATTATTAACTTCTACAAAGAACTACCAGACAATGTCTCTCGAACAGCACCAAAGACTTTTCAAATTTTGTTTTTAATCAGTCAGTATGTTTCCCTGGAAGCTTCAAGTCAGCATGAACAAATCTGTTTGTTTCAATACCAGCAACTCTTTATCATGAGTACATGTTCAAATGCACACAAGCACCAGAAAACATTAGTTATCTAAGGGGTACAATTCCTTTAAAATTGTTTCTAATGATGCAATTACTGGCTTGACTTTTTTTTTAATAACTCATTAGGTACCATTTAGGCACCAAGCCTATCTCTTGGATAACTGCACAGCTATGTAACTCAACCTCAATTCCGGAAAAAAGAGAGAACTGCTTTACTGTTTCATATGTCCAACATAAAGTCTTCAAGACTCAAAGGGGAGCTAGATTGGCCTGCAAGTGATTCAGCTCGCTTTGAACCTTAAAAATAAAATAAAATGGAAAATAAAAAAATAAAAAAATAAAATAAAATGGAATAAAAAACCACTATCAGAGTACAAGATGATCTTCAAGAATTAGGGACACAATAAAATTCTCATTGAATCACAACAACAGCCTGACACAGGTTATTTAGGTTTACCTCAGAATGGTAATATTCTTCTGAACAGAGACTATGCGTACAGTTATGCAATTATCTGCCCACAGGGGAAGCAATTTCTCATGAACAGAGGGCTTTTACCATGAACTAGAATTATTTTAAGCATTAGCTTTGATATTTGTGAGTTTCTCATTCTTTTTACTCCTTAAAACATGCCATGATCTTGGCTTAA